TGCACTCAAAACCACAAGATACCTAGGAATAAATCTAACCAAAGAGGCAAAGAATCTGTACTCAGAAAACTATAGGATACTCATGAAAGAAATTGAGGAAGACACAAAGAAATGGAAAAACGTTTCATGCTCATGGATTGGAAGAACAAATATTATGAAGATGTCAATGCTACCTGGAGCAATCTATACATTTAATGCATCCCTATCAAAATACCATCCACTTTTTTCAAAGAAATGGAACAAATAATCCTAAAATTTGTATGGAACCAGAAAAGATGCCAAATAGCCAGACGAATGTTGAAAAAGAAAAGCAAAGCTGGCGGCATCACAATTCCGGACTTCCAGGTCTATTACAAAGCTGTCATCATCAAGACAGTATGGTACTGGCAAAAAAAATGGACACACAGATCAATGGAACAGAATAGAGAGCCCAGAAATGGACCCTCAGCTCTATGGTCAACTAATCTTCGACAAAGCAGGAAAGAATGTCCAACGGAAAAAAGACAGTCTCTTCAACAAATGGTGTTGGCAAAATTGGACAGCCACATGCAGAAGAATGAAACTGGACCATTTCCTTACACCACACACAAAAATAGACTCCAAATGGTTGAAAGACCTCAATGTGAGACAGGAGTCCATCAAAATCCTAATGGAGAACACAGGCAGCAACCTCTTCGACCTCAGCTGCAGCAACTTCTTCCTAGAAACATCTCCAAAGGCAAGGGAAGCAAGGGCAAAAATGAACTATTGGGACTTCATCAAGATAAAACTTTTGCACAGCAAAAGAAACAGGCAACAAAACCAAAAGACAACCGACAGAATGGGACACAATATTTGCAAATGACATATCAGATAAAGGGCTAGTATCCAAAATCTATAAAGAACTTATCAAACTCAACACCCAAAGAACAAATGATCCAATCAAGAAATGGGCAGAAGACATGAACAGACATTTTTCCAAAGAAGACATCCAAATGGCCAACAGACGCATGAAAAAGTGCTCAACATTGCTCGGCATCAGAGAAATCCAAATCAAAACCTCAATGAGATATCACTTCACACCAGTCAGAATGGCTAAAATTAACAAGTCAGGAAACGACAGACGTTGGCTGGTATGCGGAGAAAGGAGAACCCTCCTACACTGTTGGTGGGAAGGCAAGCTGGTGCAGCCACTCTGGAAAACAGTAAGGAGGTTCCTCAAAAAGTTGAAAATAGGGCACCTGGGTAGCTCAGTTGGTTAAGTGACTGCCTTCAGCTCAGGTATGATCCTGGAGTCCCAGGATCGAGTCCCGCATCGGGCTCCCTGCTCAGCGGGGAGTCTGCTTCTCCCTCTGACCCTCCCCTGTTTCATGCTCTCTCTATCTCATTCTCTCTCTCAAATAAATAAATAAAATCTTTAAAAAAAAAAGTTGAAAATAGAGCTACCATACGATCCAGCAATTGCACTACTGGGTATTTACCCCAAAGATACAAATGTAGGGATCCGAAGGGGTACGTGCACCCGATGTTTATAGCAGCAATGTCCACAATAGCCGAACTATGGAAAGAGCCAAGATGTCCATCGACAGATGAATGGATAAAGAAGATGTGGTGTATACACACACACACACACACACACACACACACACTGGAATATTATGCAGCCATCAAAAGGAATGAAATCTTGCCATTTGCAACAACATGGATGGAACTGGAGGGTATTATGCTGAGCAAAATAAGTCAATCAGAGAAAGACATGTATCATATGATCTCACGGATATGAGGAATTCTTAATCTCAGGAAACAAACTGAGAGTTGCTGGAGTGGTGGGGATGGGAGGGATGGGGTGGCTGGGTGATAGACATTGGGGAGGGTATGTGCTATGGTGAGTGCTGTGAATTGTGTAAGACTGTTGAATCACAGACCTGTACCTCTGAAACAATAATACATTAAATGTTAAAAAAAAAAAAAAAAGAAGATAGCAGGAAGGGAAAAATGAAAGGGGGGAAATCGGAGGGGGAGACGAACCATGAGAGACTATGGACTCTGAGAAACAAACTGAGGGTCTAGGGGCGAGAAGGGTGGGTGGCTGGGTTAGCCTGGTGATGGGTATTAAAGAGGGCATGTACTTCATGGAGCACTGGGTGTTATACGCAAACAATGAATCATGGAACACTACATCAAAAACTAATGATGTAATGTATGGTGATTAATATAACATAATAAAAAAATTGTGAAAAAAATCTAGATCACTTGTAAATAATTTTTTTTCTTAAATCCTCTGATAACCTATTTAGAATGAATGTGATCAAGATTGGGCTTCTGTCAATATCATTTATGCAATACTGCACCTAAGGGCTTTCATAATTTATTTGTATTTAATTCTCACCCAACCCTACGCATTACTATTTTTATCACCTCATTTTTCAAATAAGGAAACTAAGGCTCAAAGCCATTGATTAGCTGTCTAGAAGTGCCATACTAATTGAGAGCAGAGGTATGATCCAAACTTGGGCTTGACCATGAAATGTGTGTTCTTAAGCACACACTGATATTGTCACTAAACATTAAACATGCTCCTCACATTTTTTTCTAGAGACCAAACTGGAGAAGGTTGACAGGGACAACTATTATTTGATAAGCTCTCAGTTGTACAGATTGAACCCTAAAAAACCCTGATTTATTGATGATCTGGGGCTACTTAGGATTAAATCAAACTTCATAAGACCAAGGATTTTCACAGTATGTTTTGCACAGAGCCCAAAACTCCATAGACATGCCAAGATTCAATTCCTCAAACAAAATTAAATCTATGATGCTTTTGTGAAACATTTTCCTTTTTTGAGTGTTGATGAATTTTAATGCATCAAAATTAAACATAACTGTTTAACAAAAGATAGTGTAGACAAACTTAAAGGACAGGTGCTTGACTCAGAGAAGATAATTGCCAAATTAATAACTGACAAAGAATTAAAATTCCTGAAAAACAGCAAAAAAAAAAAGCTGTGAAATCCAAAAGAAATATTATTTGAATAGCACATGAGGAAAAAGTTAAAAGACTACTTACTTGAAAGAAATGCTCAACTGATCAGAGTAATGCAAATTACAACAGTTAGCGAGACATGATTTTACACAATCAGAATGACAACATTTAGAAAAACCAATCCCATAAGCTTGTGATGATAGGTCAAAATGGGAACCTCATGAACTACTGATGGGACATAAGTTAAGCCACGTTAGAAAAATTCATGTTCCATTTATCCCATTAGTTTGCCCATACTACAAAATATAGTGATTGTGCTCCTAGGTATAGTTTCCAAAGAAGCTTTTACAGGTGCACAAAACACTATGTATTCTATTGTACTCCACCCTTTATTTTTTTTAATTGCAGTACAATTAACAAACAACATTATATTAATTTTAGGCATACAACATAATGATTCAATATTTGCATATGTTGTGAAATGATCACAACAATCAGTCTAATGAACATCTGTTACCACACATAGTTACAGAATTTATTTTCTTGTGATAAGAACTTTTAAGAACTAATCTCTTAGCAACCTTCAAATATGCAATATAGTATTATTAACTATAGTAGCTATGCTGTACATTACATACCCATGACTTACTTATTTTTTACCTGGAAGTTTGTAACTCTTGACTTCCTTCAAACATTGGGTGAAAATATTTTACTTCTTAAATGTTTTAAGAATGTATGTGTGCATGAACAATAAATACAGTTATTTTTAGATTTCTATTTTGCAGTTAAGCTTTCACGAATATCTCAGATGCACAAAACTGTGTTTGTTTCTAACTAAAATCTGTACCATGTTCTAAAGTAAAGTAGGTGAGCTGTGTTACTTCTTGGTAGTTCAGAAATTTATTTTCCTTGTCCCAACAACACAGGTAAAAGGAACAATTGTATTGCAATCTCCAAAAGTTCCAAACACAACCATACATTTAATTATCATCATTATTTTAAATATATATCACCAATAATGATTCATTACTATATGTCTACTTATGTGTAAACAAATTTCATCAAACTCTGCCAGCTGAACAAGATTATGTAGCTTTGGGCGCCTGGGTGGCTCAGTTGGTTAAGCGACTGCCTTCGGCTCAGGTCATGATCCTGGAGTCCCGGGATCGAGTCCCGCATCGGGCTCCCTGCTCGGCAGGGAGCCTGCTTCTGCCTCTGACCCTCTCCCCTCTCATGTGCTCTCTCTCTCTCATTCTCTGTCTCAAATAAATAAATAAAATAAAATCTTTAAAAAAAAAAAAGATTATGTAGCTTTATTTATGTGTTTGTTTGTTTATATCTGTGCCCTACTTAAACTTCCATGGCTAAGTGTTGTTTGAAATTGTCTAAAGTAAAGAAAGCATTTTACTCTAATTCCAAACTATGTGATCAAAGTTAATCCAGATAAAGAGTATTATCCATTGAATGAATATATTTTGGTATAACTTATACCTCACCAAAACTGGATGATTATATTCAATTTTAAGCTATTTTCATTCTATAGTATATAAACTCTAGCAAGATGGCAGTGTCTCTAAGTTACAATTCTCATAACTGTAAATTAAAAACAATAAAACACCCCACCAATAAATATGCTAACATGTTGTAAGGATACTTTAATTTTATGTGGGATACTTGTGTGTGTAAGCATTCAATTTATTTTGCAAAGAACCTCGGTATTTACTGGAAATTTATAAGACCTAAATAAAAATATAATAGTTTACAGTAAAAAGATAACAAAAAATGGAGTAGGAAACTATTCAAAGATGGTAATTTGTAATAGCACAAGTAAAAATATTTTTTAAGAACTGATATTTTTAGAAACTAAATTTCTTTTAACTAGAAAGGTGTATTTTTTAAATATGTATTCTGATAATTAGCACCAAAAATAGTTATGAATACTTTATTACAACAGTGAAGTTTGTGTAATTTTCCACAATTTAAAAGAATAAGCCTGATACAAATTACAAACAAAAACTAATTAAATTAAATGACTTACAAAAAAAATAATGCCGGTAACTTTTCCATTTTCCTTAGCTTTTCAACGAGAAGTGGAAACATTCTTTTCATGTTTTCTGAACTAAAAACTGAATCAGGACTAAGATTCCTCAGAACCACTTTGGCCTGTAGCAATGAATAAAAAATTATTAGTTTTAAATTCTGCATAATAAAGGAAGGAATTAATACTTTTGGCTAAAATATTTTAATAGTTGTCTAATCTATATTTCTGTGCTTCTTTCAAATAAAATATAATAAAATAATTACGAAAATATAACATTGTGTAAAGAACCATCAAAGAAATATACAAATCAATGCACCAAAGAACAACGACAACAAAATGACTAATATATATACATGCATACATACATGCAATTTAACATGCAATTATGTAAGGCAACACAAATCAGTCAGAAAGAGGTTGTTCTGTAAATGATGCTGGTATCTCTATGGCAGAAGGTGGGGTAAATCAGTTCCTCTCCATATCATGGATAAAAAGCACTTTCAAATACCTTTTGAATGTTTTTAAATGACAAAATAAATGGAAGAAAATGTAAATTAATTGTGTTTCTGAATGGGAGGAGGTTACCTAAGTTAAAATGTAATGGAGAGGCACCTGGGTGGCTCACTCGTTAAGGGTCTGCCTTCCGCTCAGGTCATGATCCCGGGGTCCTGGAATCGAGCCCCGCATCGGACTCCCTGTTTGGCGGGAAGCCTGCTTCAGCCTGCTTCTCCCTCTCCCACTCCCCCTGCTTGTGTTCCCTCTCTCACTGTCTCTCTCTCTCTGTCAAATAAATAAATAAAATCTTTAAAAATTTAAAAAAAGTAATAATGTAATGGAAAAAACTCAAATGGGAAAAGTCTAATATATGTCACTCACCAAAAATGAGAAACCTCAATGTGTGACAATAAAACGAACTTCAAAATATAAAGACCATCATCAACTTATTTAATGTAAATATGCAAAACTTACATGACCCCAGGTGAAGGTTTTAATATATAAATAGTTCCTACAAACTGAAATAAAAATCATAAAAGAAAAAAATCCAAAGATAAAAATGATAAAGGAGTAAAGAATTCTTCTGAGCTACTGTTACTATGATTTCAATCTCTGCTGCCACGGAATCAAGAACACTGACTGTGGATAATGACAACTCTGTTCTTGTCTACTGTAACACTGAACAGGAACTGGTGGGCTTCTGGGATATGTTTTAGGAAGCACAAAGGATTAAAAAAAGAGCAATGTCCTTTTCCTCTTTCTATTCTATCTCAGAATCACTAGATTTCCAGGTTAGCCTAAAATCCTAAAATGAAAATTGAAGACTAAAATAATAAAGTAATAATAATGATGATGATGATGACAACAATGTAAGTCAAGAAAACAAGGAACATAGGGTTTTGCCAAAAACATGTGAAAATTACCTCCTCGGCATGGCCATTTTTGATCCAACTTGTTAGTTCTGCCTTTAAGCTCTCTTCATATTTTCTAGCATCCAACTTTTTAATGACTATTTTATTCTTAAAATGAATGAATTTCTCTGGATCGAACTCCTTGAAAAGAAATGTCACAAAATTAAATAAAATCATGCAAGAAAATCCAAAGATGTTTCTCAATTATGCATTTCATTTAACAGAATTACAAGCTTCTTGAGAGTACAGATTATTGACGTCTTTTTATCCCCCCAATGTTTCCAGTACATAAACCTAATAGGATGGATGAACTCTTCGAAAAAAGAATGCAGAGCAAAACCACATAGAAGATGAAAACAGACAGCAATTAGGGTGTAAGGAGAAAAGGAGAGTACAATGAGAAAATGAAGGAATATGAATCCAAGATGTAAAAGGAGACTAAAATATCCTAGCATCCCAGAAACTGAAAGAAGAAATATCTTCCGGAATTCAATGGCATTACACACCATTAAAGTAAAACACAATATGTTAGCAAGAAGAATGTCTTAGAAGGGGTGATTTTATTTTGGAAACAGTCTATAATTTTAAAAGATTAGATGCACATGATCAGAAAAGGTGAGACTTTGTCTTTCTGAACAGCAATGTTACCATCCACTATAATAAAATTAATTCAAGTTAAATGTGTAATTATTTCTTACCTGGGCCCTGGGCCATCTTTCCCAGATCTGAAACATGGTATCATAAAGCTGGATGGTTTCTCGAGGGGAAAGGGTAAGATCAGAAGGAAATCCATACTTTTCAATCTACATTTAAGATAAAATTAAAATTTTTAATATTCTTTCATTTTATCTATGGTCTGTCCTTTGCCCTGCAAACCTGTGTAAAATCTCTGAACATGAGACTGCATTATGTCAACAGAGTCCATGTCAACATAGTAACTGAATACGTTATTTTTGGAATGTAAGCATTGTGTGCTCTTATTAATACTACTTGAAAGTGGTAAATTATTTTGCCTCACTAAAAAACATATATGTAAGATAAATCCAAAAATTATCACAATTTTTAAGATATAAATCTTATTTCTGTCACTAGAATGCTTGTGATTTCTTAAGTCTCTTAGCCTTTTAGGGGAAGGCTGAGTTTCTTTGTTTCTAAAATGGACAATTCTGCCTGTGCCATAGATTTGTTGCAAGAATTAAGTTAGATAATGTATGTAATAAGTCTAGTGAAGTACCTGTCACGTGGTTGATGCCTCAACTGTCAATGATCAACTCACAAGTCTTAATTTTTTTTGTATTTTCTCTTAAGATTTTTTTTTTAAGATTTTATTTATTTATTTGAGAGAGAGACAGACAGAGATTGACACAGAGAACATGAGCGGGGAGGAGAGGGAAAAGCAGGCTCCCCGCTGAGCAGGGAGCCCAATGCGGGACTCAATCACAGGACCCTGGGATCATGACCTGAGCCAAAGGCAGACACTTAACCGGCTGAGTCACCCAGGCACCCCTTCTCTTATGATTTTTTTCTTTTTTTTTTTATTAACATATGATGTATTATTTGTTTCAGGGGTACGGGTCTATGATTCATCAGTCTTACACAGTTCACAGAGTTCACCATAGCACATACCCTCCCCAATGTCCATCACCCAGCCACCCCATCCCTCCCACCCCCCACCACTCCAGCAACCCTCAGTTTTTTTGTTTTTTTTGTTTTTTTTAATTAAATATTTTTTTATTCTTATGTTAATCCCCATACATTACATCATTAGTTTTAGATGAAGTGTTCCATGATTCATTGTTTGTGCATAACACCCAGTGCTCCATGCAGAATGCAGCAACCCTCAGTTTGTTTCTCAGAGCCCATAGTCTCTCATGGTTCATCTCCCCCTCCAATTTCCCCCCCTTTATTTTTCCCTTCCTACTATCTTATTTTTTTTTTAACATATAATGTATTATTTGTTTCAGAGGTACAGGTCTGTGATTCATCAGTCTTACACAATTCACAGTGCTCACCATAGCACATACCCTCCCCAGTGTCTATCACCCAGCCACCCCATCCCTCCCATCCCCACCACTCCAGACCCTCAGTTTGTTTCCTGCGATTAAGAGTCCCTTATGGTTTGTCTCCCTCTCGGGTTTCATCTTGTTTCATTGTTCCCTCCCTTCCCCTATAATCCTCTGTCTTGTTTCTCAAATTCCTCATACCAGCGAGATCATACGATAACTGTCTTTCTCTGATTGACAAGTCTTAATTTTTAAAATCAGTTTAATAACTCTGTGGCTAGAAGCTGGGAATTCAATTCAGTTGTTCTCCACTACACAGCAACTAATGAACTGGCATAACCTGAGCCAGCCTACGTAAAGAAGGAAGAGAAATAAAAGGTCATAAATGTGTACCATCCTTCATTTGTAAACACAACAGTATTATATTACGATGCTGTTTTGTGAACCACATTGTCCCTAATGCCCCAAGTGATGGTGAGAATTGATCTGTGCTTGAGCAGAAAGAGGCAACAGTTCTTTCAAGGACTTCCTGGGGCTGACAACTCCAGCAGTGAGCAGCTGCTCCTTTGTGGCATGGTAATTGGTCGCAAAGGCCAAGCTCGGCTTTTTTTTTTTGCCAGAAATAAGCCTCATATGGATTGAAGGGCAATCCTTCACCTCAGTTGGATGAAGGCCAGCTTACTCATCCTGTTCCACCCCTTCCCTTCTCAAACTATTTCTATGACGAAGCTGTAGGGACAATGATCAGGGAGGATGGTTCTTCTCTTTCGGTTGCCACAATTTATTATGCTTTTTCTTGCCACTGAGTTCTTTCATATTAATCTGAAGTATACTACACAACATCAGGAATAATTTACTCATTCAGAAAGGTCTGCTTGCTTTGTATTGCTGCTACGATAGGAAACACACTGTATCAACACATGTTACACACACAGCTATCAAAACACATTTAATAATGCCCAAGCCTTTGAGTTTATCCTCCATTCCTGATGCAAAAGTCCAGAAGTCTTTTTTTTTTTTAAAGATTTTATTTATTTATTTGAGAGAGAGAATGAGATAGAGAGAGAGCATGAGAGGGGGGAGGGTCAGAGAGAGAAGCAGACTCCCTGCTTCTGGACCCAAAGTCCAGAAGTCTTAAGAAGACTCATACAACAGTGTGACCTTTGCAGAAGTCATACCAGGTCAGAGCATACTGTAGCAGTTCTGTTGCTTTCCAGTTACTCCATTCATAGCTACTGAAAAGAGAGGAAAGGCACTTGGACCAAAATGCCAATCTTGCTAGGTACTCCAAACTGCACTCATTGCTACTTAAAGATAACCTGTCTGGAACCGTCCTACACAAAATAAGTAATTTTTTAAATACTATGCTGTTTTAAAAATGCCAGGTGACAATGGGGGGGAAAAAGCAGACAGAGAGAAAGACAGAGACAGAAAAAGAAGTCTATTAATTATTTGTGTGGGTTATCATCTATATTCTAAGTCTGGGGTGTGAGGTCACAGGAATTTTGTCCATATTTTAGTTTTATTTAGGGTTCAGATTAGGCCATTGCCACACAAAAGAGAAACTTCTGTGATAAAATCTTATTAGAAAATTACCATGATTAGGATTCATTCAGTTGCTTTTAGAAGCCATTGTATCATAGCTGAAAGGCTAAAAGTGATTCTCATTCATTCACTCACTCAGTATCTGTTCAATAGATCATTCAGAATACTGTGATGATAGGGCAAGCTCTGGAGTCTATCTTGGTTGCATCCTGGCCCCACCACTTATTTGCGGTGCAATAATGAGTTAGTTAAATGCTCTATGCCTCACCATCCTCATTTGTAAATTGGGAATATTAACAAGACATCCATCCTAAAACTGTTGTGATAGTTGAAAGGGACAAAATACATAAAATTCTTAGAACACAAAGTAAATGCTCAATTTAAGTTGGCCATCTTTACTTAACATACATTTATTAAGCATCTTTTATATACACAGTTTTTTAGGAACTCATAAGGACATAAAATTTGTCTTCAAGGAGTTATTCTAATAAGATAAAGGAGACATGCATATAAGCAACTTTAGTAGTAAGCTGATCATGACTGATGTCATACAAGAAGGTGCTATGGACCGAAGATTACATCCAGCTAAGGAAGTCACAGAAGGACTCTGAAGATGTTTCGCGTTAGAGGACTCATAAAAAATATAAAGGATCTGAACAACTGGCATTTGGCATCTGTGGTGAAATACTCCAGGAACAATATAAATCATGAGGACCTCCAGGTAAGATACATCAGATTTTGGGGCCAGGTCAGAGAAGACCTAGGAAGCCAAGCCAAGGAGTTGTGGATTTAATCACTTCCAAAGGAAAGCCATTAAAGCTTGGCAAGATCATAATTATGTTTTAGGGGTTTTACCTGACAACAGAATTTGGACTATAGTCTACTTGCTAGGTTTTGAAAGGAAGGCAAACTAATGACTAATTATCATTTTGAGAGGCACTAAGAGTTTGAATGGGCTGTTACTAAGAATAGGATAAGAAAGGAAGAGAATTGGGCGCCTGGGTGGCTCAGTTGGTTAAGCGACTGCCTTCGGCTCAGGTCATGATCCTGGAGTCCCTGGATCGAGTCCCGCATCGGGCTCCCTGCTCGGCAAGGAGCCTGCTTCTCCCTCTGACCCTCCCCCCTCTCATGTGCTCTCTCTCTCATTCTCTCTGTCTCAAATAAATAAAATCTTTAAAAAAAAAAAAGAAAAGGAAGAGAATTGTGCAAGGAAAATTAAGAAGTCTTCCTTCACAGACACCTCGATGTCCCAAATGATATCCTAAGACTTCCACTTTATTGATTCACCACCAAAAAATCATGTTATGACTGTTATGTTAGTGAAATGTCTTTTCCTTATTTAACCTAACTCGCAGTGATCAGTTGCTCACATGTTCTAGGAGCTGTCCACATATAGTTGTGCACTAAGGGTTAGTGTCACAAAGGTTGACAGAGAGACATGGGTACTGAGAAGAAGGAAGATGGGCAAAGATAATGTCCAAGAACAAATAAAATTAACCAAAAAAAACTTCAGGTTAATATTCTTAGTCATTTTCAAGCTTTGTGGATCCAGACACCACTGAGGGTTCATTGAAGACTACAAAGTTATTTTTGTTACTTTTAAAAAACTAATGTTAATAAATATTCTTCAACGCTGAGAAAGGAGGATATCCTGCCATTTGAAACACCATGAATGCACCTTGAGCACATTATGCTAAGTTATACAGAGGTAAGTCGGACAGAGAAAGAAAAGTAACAGCATAATATCACTTATATGTGGAATCTAAAAAAGTCAAACTCGTAAAAAACACAGTAAAATGATGGTTACCAGGGAATGTGAGGTGGGGGAGTAAAGATCAGTGTTCTTTAAGGGTACAAATTTGTGATGAGTAAATACGACATAGGGATTTAATGCACAGTATAATAAATATGGACAATAATATTATATTATAATCATATAACATGATAGAGGTGCTAAATATTGCTATCACAATTATTTTACAATATATAAATATACCAAATTAACATGTTATACACCTTAAATTTATATTATGTTACATGTCAAATATATTCAATAAACAAAAAATAAAACTAAGGTTAAATATCTGTTATAAAGTATCTATTCTACAATTCTAAGAATCAACTAGGCAGCTATTCAATTATAACATATATACAAGTAATTTATATTACTCAGAACAAATATGTCTAAAGTATTACTTACATGATCTGTTGTTAGTGCGGCACATGGGTGAAAATGATCAAAATAGATGTCATTATGTTTTATCGAACATATATGCTTCTCTAAATCATTGTATCTCTCTCCATAGAGCACTAACAATGAAGAGCAAGAATTTCCAAATCAGTGGCCAGCTAAGGACTGCAATGATTTTAAAGTAAAAGAAAAATGCCAAACGTACCAAGTCTAACTTTATACGATTCCTTTATTCGGAAGTAATCTTTGGGAGAAGTGGCACAACGGCCAGCATCTCTTTTAAAAGCAATATTTTTTCCCATTGTATGGTCTTCTTGTTTCCAGTAGTGTTTTACTGATTGTAGCCACCTTAAAAAATAAATTCACAAATAATTTTACTGTAGGCAGTAATAGAGTACTACTTCCTGTGACATTAAATAATTCAAATAAAAAAAATTTCGCATGCCTTAAAAATTGTAATTAAAAGAATAGGCCCTGGAGGCAGACTACCTGAGACTGAATCCCAGCCTCCTTACTGCTGTCTGTGGCTCTTGGTCAAATCACTTACATTCTTTGTGCCTCATTTTCCACATTCTACATTCCACAAAAATGGAAATAATAATAGTAGTAGTAGACATATGATTTAATAGTAGTAATTGAAATAGTAAATCATAAGGGTTGTTGGGTATTTAAAATAAATTAATATTTGCAAAACACTTAGAATAGTGCCTGGCACATAGTAGCCTTTGCTATAATTGTTATTAACAATGAGGCAAAAATCTAGCCCAATGACAAAATGATATGGGCCTTTCAATTAGTAAGGTTTTCCTATCTTTCTAAGCATCTACAAAGTGGGACAATAGAAGAAATCTCAAAGTCTGTGGCAGGGGATGTCATTATATTATTTCATTTTTTATTTCTTGCTAAAAGACAGGAAAAAAAAGGAACATAGATCTATCGCTGCTGGTGGACTTTTTTTGACATATGGAAGAAATTTTCTACTCAATAGCAGATCTGGCTGGGACAGTCCTTGATTTTCCTTTATTGAGTGTGGGCTTTCTCAGCACCTGCCAGGAGGTGCTCTAGATGCTCTGTTGCTTGAATAGCCAGAGATAAGTTAATAAACCCACCAGAAAGTTATGAAACGCTTCAGAACCTATAGAGAAAGTATAAAATTTAAAATAGAAAAGCATTTATCCAAACTGAACCGAACATAATGCCTACTCAGTGAGATGCTGAGGGTTACTTATGGTTGCTGAAAGAGCCAAAAAGGGACATCGGATCATGACAAGGAGATGCTCCCAGACTTCTGCTCCAATTTCTCCACCAAGACAATGGACCTATTAAAAGAAAAAAATTTCTCCTTTAAAAAGATGATTTAAAAATAGCAAATGAAAATAAGACACAGAAGCTCAAATCACTATACATAGTTTCATGTTACCTTTAATTGACCATGCCAAGTTTATATAAATATCCACAAATCAGGTAATAGAAAATCTTGACACAAATTTTCTTCAATTTCCATAACCAATCCATCAATAACTCCTCTTTCTCTTACTTTCAAAAATTTCTTTCAAATGTATGCATTTCTTTCCATGTCTAATGCCACCCGAGCCACAATCTCATCTCAGCTACACTGCTGCAATATCCTCCCGACTACCACCTAGCTTCCCTCGGTGCCCCCTATGTTCTTCCAATCACAGCCAAAATGATATATCTAAAAGACAAACTAGATCAGTCCATGTCCCTAATTAAATTCCTTCAATATCTTCCTTTGCACATGGAACAGAATGTTAACTCCTTAACAGGGTGTACATTATACCTGGCATAATTTGGCCCCCTCTTGTCTCTCTAGCTTTGTATCAAGCCATTCTGTCCCATACTGCTCCCCCTCTGCTTAAGACATACTGGACTTCTCTGTGTTACTTAAACACACCTTTCCTACCTCAGAGCTTTCACATGTATCATTCCCTCTGCTTAACATGCTTTTCAGCTTACAGAGTTCAGGCTAATGTCACTCCGTTAGAAGGACTTTGCTGACTGCCCACTCCAAAGTTTCCTCCTACCGCTTTCCTGCCATTTTCAGTCATGCCAGCCTGCTCTTTCTCTTTACAGTATGTACCAGTGTGGGCGGGCACAATCACATGTGTACTTGCTCGTGTGCTTACTTGTTTAATTCTCTGGTTTTCAATTACTCTGTGACCTTAGACCTGGGCATTCCTAGTACCAACAGTGCCTGGAATGGCAGAGGCACCCCTTAAATATTTGCTGAATTAATGAATGAATGTCTTTTAAATCAAATAAGGCAAACTGAACTCGATTTAGAGAAGATTCTCAAATGTAGTCTTCTTTAAACAGATTAAATTATGAAGCCTGGCAACTAGCTGGAAAGGACCATCTGAGTCAGAGGATTAAAATAATCTTTTCCACAGCCCATTTGGTTTTGGCCTGGTCAGGTAGTATACAACTCTCCTGAATGCTTCATAAAAGCAGATAGTTCTTTTCTCTGGCCCTGCCAGAATAGGCATTAGCCTTCAAAATCCTTCAGCTTTACTTTATATCAAAGTGGGGAAATTAAGGTACCCAATGTCATACCAGTCAGAGTTTTGAAATTAGAGTACAACTCCAGTTCTTGATTACAGAGAATTGTCGAATTTTTATTTTGAACAGGAATATTCAAGGCCTTCAAGATGTAATATATACAGAGTAACCAAAAATAAACACAAAAAATCAGTATCAAACAAATAAAATATATAGCCTGCTTAGTAGCTCCAAGTTTACAACAGGAATAATTAAGTTAAATACAAGCTTATCATCTTCTTCCACTTTAGGCTGAAAATTCTTTGGAGCAAAAGAATATATCCTTTTATAATACTTTAAATCTTTTTCAATAAATATCTTTGATAAAATATGATGATAAAATGTTATAAATATCATTTATAAATACTACAAAATAAAATATAATATATAAAATATGTATATTTTATATATCATACATAAAATTATATTATATATATATAACATACATAAATGAATATATAAATATACTAAATATTTCATAAATATATATTTTATATGCATTATATAAATATATAAATATAATATATATAATTAAGTATTATATAAATACATGCTATATATAAAGTACATATTATATAAATATATATTATATAAATAAACTATATAATATATAATATACTATATAATACAAAAATAAAATATATAAATATAATAAATGTTTAATAGATATACATATAACATTTAATAAATATATTTATATATTTAATATATAATATATTAAACACATATTTTATATTATAGAAGTATATTTTTAAGTATATATTAAAATATATTTATAGGGGCGCCTGGGTGGCTCAGTCATTAAGCTTCTGCCTTCAGCTCAGGTCATGGTCCCAGGGTCCTGGGATCGAGCCCGCATCAGGCTCCCTGCTCAGTGGGAAGCCTGCTTCTCCCTCTCCCACTCCCCCTGCTTGTGTTCCCTCTCTCCCTGTGTTTCTGTCAAATAAATAAATAAAATCTTTAAAAAATAAAAAATAAAATATATTTATAAAAATATAAAAGGATAAAATGTCATAACTATCATTTATAAATATTATAAAATTTTATAACATTTATAAGTATGACAAAAATGTTATAAATATCTTCCATTTGTCCCTATAAATCTCCATTATTTTCCATCCTGCTCTCTTTGGCCAGGGAAACGGACTTATAGAGATTACTTTAAAGGGACTCCAATGCTCTCTGGTTCCCCTGGACTTAGCCAATGGAGAGCCTTGTCAAGGGATCAGGAGAAGGGAGGAGAATGAGAATGAGGTCTTTATTTCACTGGATCCCCCTTCCTGAAAGGTTACCTTGAACTAGTTATGTCCCTTAACCAAGGTAAGTACTCACAATGTGGCTACCTTAATCAGAATCTTTTGCATCTCGGTAACTGCTTCTTTGCCTTGTCCCTTTAAGCATAAGGGTAAGTTACTAGCTCTGGATTACTGTACTAACCTTTATAGTTTCCCTCACACACACTTTTGGAAAACTCTCCTTTTTTTTTTTTTTTTTTAAGATTTTATTTATTTATTTATGTGAGAGAGAGCGCACATGAGAGGGGGTAGGATCAGAGGGAGAAGCAGACTCCCTGCCGAGCAGGGAGCCCGATGCGGGACTCGATCCCGGGACTCCAGGATCATGACCTGAGCCGAAGGCAGTCGCTTAACCAACTGAGCCACCCAGGCGTCCTGGAAAACTCTCTTCTTAAATTGTGTTTTGACTGTGCCATTTGTTTTCTATTGTGTCGATGACTGATAAAATAACCCACATAACTGCTACCATTGTGAGAGACCAAAAAGCTTTGCTTTAGAGGTCAAAGATTGGATTTTGAAATCTCTACCAGGAAAACTTAACGCCCTGGTGGTTAACTCTGCCTTGCTACGCAGACCTCTACAGCATATACCGACATCCCCTGTTGAGTCTCAACAGGAAAACGGAACCAAAAGACTGAGTATGATTCACTGAGGAAACCATTCAGAAGGAAGTACCCCCCACAACCTGAACTCTATACAAAGGGACAAATGTCTTGAAGCACCAAAAATCTTCATTATAGCACTTACGTACACTAGGAAATCAACCTAGAGAAATAATACCAAACCTACCTCATCAAATATAACATATCTGATCCTTTTCACCCATGTTTGGCGATGAGGAGCTAATAGCAGAATTTCAAAGCAGGCAGGCACTGTAATAAGTACCTAAAATAACATTGTATAAACAAAAAGTTTGAGTACTTTACTATGTACAGACTTTGTTATAAGAATATGAAAGAGTTATAACTCCTGAATGTACCTGCTAATAATTATGATATAATATCACTTCTGAGAATATTTCATTAAAATTGTGATATATTAGGTTAAACCTTATGAAACTGTAATTCTTATGAGTCAAAATGGTAAAATATCAGATTTGAAGTTTAAATTCTTATTTATAAACATCCAAAGTAATACAAATAGAAAGAGTTAATCATCACAGGTTTATTTCTTCAATCTGACCCTGAGATAGTTTTGCTTAAAAAATGTCTATTTAGGATCAACAACTATGGATGTGGGGAGAAGCAGAATTGTGTTGAGGGAGAAGCTATATTTCAAAAGAGGCCTGATGAAACCTTGGCCAACCTGGCTTAGAACTCTGGAGTGAATACTGGCTGTCAGAGCTATTCCACAGCAGGCATTTATACCCCTGTGTTTATGTCCCAGCGTTTATATCCCCGCCTAGCTCAGCCACAGGACATGGACTGTGGAACTGACAGCTGGCATTTGTCTTGACCCCTCTCCCCACATCTGGGCAGCAAGTCCATCCTTGAAAGGCAATCTGGGTAACACATCTTCATGTCTGCTCTGCAATGTTCTAGAATCATCATTTCACTTTTTGTTCAGTCTTAATTATGTATTTATGAATTTGTTAAGGAGGAAAACTATCCATGGCTTACTTAGCATCAGGTATTCTATCAATAATACATTTTTAAAATTGTGATGAGTATCCTACTCATCAAGAAAAGTGACAGTATCTTAATTATCAAGAAAAAGTCATTCTGATTAGAAATTGGTGTTTGTTAATTTTTTATAGCATTGGGTTCTTCAGATCATTTTGAATCCATTTATAAACCAAAAGGATGCAATAAACTATTAGTGAAACCTGAAGTCAAAACGTAAGTGTCCTTAGAGAAAGATGAGTGCTATTTCTCAACTCTTTGGAATATTAACAATATTAAACTTTCTGTAAAGCCATTTCATCTTGTAAATTCAAAAAAATTATTTCTGTGAGGCTTTGTGAAGATGTTGAATTTCTACTGAAAGAGACATATATTAGTGCTATTATATAATTTGGTAACAAATGCATTAATTAATATATCCTACCTGACAGTTTAGGGCATCGTGACGATAGTCCCTTGTAAAAACACCACATAGAGCTTCACCATTTGGCAGACTTTTGGTAAAACGGTTCTGAACAGTTGCTGCCACTTGATTAACAAGGGCCTGATTGACAAGGGAAGAAATTCAATAATCACATAATAAAACACAGATGAAACCTCAGAGAATGACAGAAACTGTCTAAAAATATGTACGGTTGTAAGTGCAGAAAGCTTAACAGCCCCTTTCTTATACCCATCTACTCTAAATACACTAACATGCTCTCTTTGAGATATTTGACCTAAGTATGTGAACCTCATTGATAAACCTCAACTTAAAGTAAAATGGGGGAAAAAATGGCTTAATCAGAAGGAAAAAAAAAAAAACAGGAAATGTTGCTCACATATCAGGAAAAAAATAGCTGAATACCTGGATGACCAAGGCTTAGAAAGAAGCTGTGAGTCTACTATAGAAGGAAGATCAAGTTAAGGATTATCAGATAGATTTGTGGTTCTTATATTTGGGGACTTCCTTCAGACATCTGGAGTTTGAATATATACATGAGTACTTTGGATCAGGTGGGTAGCCTGGCTAGTGGAATCTGAGTATAGGGAAATCTATGAACATCTATTTCACACTTTATGCACCCCCCCAAAAAAGATACATATAGATTAAAACATAAATTTTAAAACATAAGCATAAAGACACTAAAAAGTGAACACTTTCCCATTTCTGAGCACACACATGGAAACACTAAATGAAAATACTGATAGACCTGAGTACACAAAGATATGAACAAAATATTATCGTTAATATGACCCAATATAGTAGTAAAAAGATAAAGTGACAAATAAAGGTATATTTGTTATGATATATAAAGAGTAATGTACTTAGTATACAAAACTCTGACAAATCAATGAAAAGACAATGCCACTACCCCCAAAGTAAAAGACAAATGGGCAAATGCATCCACAAGTAGTTCATGAATAAAAAAATGTCAGTGCCCAAATTCACATAAAGATACCCAAATGACTAGTGATCACAGAAAAGCAAATTTAAATATGAGATAGAAGTTTTCTCCTATCAGTATGGCAAAAACATTTTAAGTGATAATAGAAATGTTAGAGAAGATAAGAGAATATACACTGCCATATCTTTTAAAAGAGTAATTTGGCAAAATCTACTGTGTTGTTACTAAAATTCCACTTCTGGCCAGGTTAATTTTTTTTATATATACTACTAATTTCCTGCAATGAGCACATATTAATGGCCATGAAAAACAAAAAAAAAGCTACAATAAAAAATAAAGTGCTCATTTCAATTAATCATACAGATCAATCTGGTTCTAAGGCTGACCACAAGTCACTAAACTTTTTCTAGAAGCTAAAATGGAGTCTGAATTCATTTTAATCTATAGAATTAAAGTTATCTCAACTAAATTTGCCTTTCCTAAGAGTAATCACATTACAAGCAAAGAGTTATGAGTGAGGATATGCAAACTTCTACTTTCTGTAAGTCAAACTTTCTCCTTAATGCAAAGATCATACTTTTTGTTTTTAAGTTCAACATTAAGCAGTAATAGACATAAAAGAAACATGGCAAAACAGCCTAGCTTGAGAAACAGGCCAGTCACGAATGCCCAGCAGCAGATCAGATAAACTCTGCAAAAGCAGTATTAGATTCCTAAGTGACCAACATGGCTCAGCAAAGTGTGAATGCTTCTCTCAATGTAAGCATAATGCTGAATGACAAAATCACAAGACCAGGCTTTTTCCTCACAATGGTTCTCAGAAAAGTGTTATGTTGGCCTCTGAAACTGGAAGGAGAAAATACAGGTCACAAAATAAAGTGAAAGCTATGGAAACAGAGAACAGATTGATGGGTGCCAGAGGTAGGGGTTGGAGACAGTGGGTGAAATAGGTGAAGGTGGACAAAAGGTACAAACTTCCAGTTATAATATAAATAAGTAGTAGATATGTAATGTACAGCATGGCAACTATAGTTAACAATACTGCACTGCGTATTTGAAAGTTGCTAAGAGTATAGATCTTAAAAGTTCTCATCATAAGAAAAAAAGTTTGTAGCTATATGAGGTGATGGATGTTAACTAAACTTATTATGGCAATAATTTCACAATATATACATATATCAAATTATGTGTGGTACACCTTAATTAATACAATGTTATATGCCAGTTATAGATCAATAAAACTGGAAAATAAATAAATAATAAAATAGATTCACTTGCATGACTACATGTATTATTTTAAAAGAGGAGGTTTAGGAATGAAAGAGAAAGTTTGAGTCACTTGAGGGCTACCTTTGTTGGTGCAACATACACAACCACCCCTTCACTGCTCTCCTTCAGCACCTTCTCCATGCAATAGTAGGAAGCATAGGTTTTGCCTGAGGACGTTGGGGCGACAATCACTGCTGACTCATTATTATCCACAACATCAAGGAGCTCTCGCTGCAGGGTTCAGAGCACCATATGAGTTAATAATATGAACAGCATGTTATCAAAACAAATCTATTAATACACTTCTAATATAATTTTCTGAACTTCAAGTGGAATGATGGGGAGTTAAAAACACTGATGAAACACATAGGAAAATCTGAAGAACTCATGGCATTCTCTCAGAAGACAGAATTGCTATGCTTTTGACTATCTGGAGGTGAGTTTGTGTGTGAAAAATGGAAAATAAGCCTGAATAAAATATCTTTTCATTGGGAAGATTTCTTTTTTCCTAAGTATTTGTCATTGATTAAGTCCAGCCCTTCTCCAAAATGGAAAGTGAGCCTGAATAAAATATCTTGTCATTGGGAAGATTTCTTTTTTTCTAAGTATTTGTCATTAAGTACAGTGCTTCTCCAAAGGCTTTGAGAAATTAAGTTCTAAGAAGCAGCCAATGGTGAAATGGTAGCTAAGGAGAAAAAAAATCAATCATTCATAATTTTACTACTTACCTTTTACTTTACATACGGAAGAATGTCAGGTACCTACTTTGAAGGGCATGAAAAACTTCATCCCTTCAGTTTATGCTTTTAATCATCAAAATGATGACTAATCAAAGAATCATAAATTTCTATGATGGGCAGAAGATGGAAAAACATCCCCAAACCTCAGTCTGCACACTCTTAATCTAGGTCCACTCTGAGCCACACCTCAAAATAAAGTGGACATTAGAAGAATTGAAATGTGTGTAGAACTAATAGAGAGCACTTGGCTGCTTTGTGTCCTGCACTTAAGTAAGGAACTGATCCTCCTGTTCCTGAAAAGGAGGCAGGAATTTTTAAAGATATTCCACTATCATCAATATAAGAAAGATAAAGGCATATTCTGAATTGGAAGTCTAGTAGATTGAACCTATGAAATTGTACTTTTGTAGGTAAACATATTCAATTTATCAGCGATTTTATATGGTTCAATCTATGCAGAAACACACCATTTTATTCCAAATTTTATATCCATCAATTTTACATTTATTTATAGAAGAATGGCTACGATGGTGACAGGTATAGCATGTAAATATCTAAACAATTGCTATCTTGTTTAGACTACCAAAATTGCTCTGGGCACATTTACATATAAAATCCTACTGACAGGGGCGCCTGGGTGACTCAGTTGGTTAAGCGACTGCCTTCGGCTCAGGTCATGATCCTGGAGTCCCGGGATCGAGTCCCACATCGGGCTCCCTGCTCAGCGGGGGGTCTGCTTTCCCCTCTGCCCTCTTCCCTCTCATGCTCTCTGTCTCTCATTCTCTCTCTCAAATAAATAAATAAAATCTTAAAAAAAAAAAAATCCTACTGACACAGGGAAAACATGGAGGTTGCTCCACAATGATACAACTGGATGACCCAAACATAACTTTAAAAATATGTATTTGTGAATTCATCAAAGTACCTCCAAGGAGATGGTCTATTTATAAATAATAAACAAAATGAAAATTTCACTTTCTTTAAATGGAAAAGAATTTCCATTTTGTCATTTCTAATGATAAAATAATTTTAAATGACATGACTCAATATTAAGTTCATGCCAAATATAATATGTAAAGCCACAATAATGAGAAGCTCCTGAGATCACATTTAATCATAAAATACAAATAAAATAAAATTTTTGTTTCATTCAATTATTACCTGCCATGTGTCAGGAATAAAATCCTGAACCCTGGGATCTGGATCTTTTCTCTCATCTCGTATCAAATAATGGCCCATGTATTGTAGTTGAAACCGAACTGGCCCAATGCCAATTGAGTATTTATCTGTTTTCTTCATGTCATCTCTTGCAACCTACATTATTTGAAAAGTCCATTTGGAAAGTGATTTTAAACTACATTATTTAAATAATTAAAATATATATTACTGAGTACTTTTTATGAGAAAAGGATTTCACCACCTTTTCAATTTTGTAATATTTATTGAAGAAGTTCTTTACCATTTAAATCATTATCTTAACTGTGAGTATATTGATAGACATCAAGATTTTCAAATATCCATTATGGTATCTGTAGCTACAATCTAATACATTTAAAAACAACTGAACAATCACAACATAGCTTTTAAATTGTTTGCTAGAATTAAACACAGTATTAATTTTAAGGGTCTGCAGAAATTATCCAGCATTTAACCTGTTTGTTCAGACAAGCATTTGTATCAGTTTTCTAATTTCAAGTTTGGGCAGCTGAATTACTAGTAATGACTTTGAACGTAGAAGTAAATATTGTCAGTTGAAAAAAAGAAAAAATCTAGAAGAGGTGACTGTATTTGCAAGACACTTTATGTACACCCCATAATTATTCTATTAAAATGGAGCTATTCTGAAAATTACCTGGGTTGGATATAAAGAACTTGCCAATTCATCAAATCCTAAATACTTCAGGCATCTGGCTATAAGTTGCTGATCTGCCTCCTGCAAAAGTTCTGGGTATTTTTCCATCAAGGAGTGGATCCTTTTCATCATTTGAACAGCTATATTTAAATCTTTTGTGGTTTCACCTTGGCAAATAATAAACAATATAATTTTTATAAAGACCATGAAAAATAATGTTAGATTACCCAAGATTAATCATCCAATCAATCTGACCTAATTAAATTCACTATCTTATTTAACATTAATAAAGGTTTTAGGATACAGAGGACTAGGTAAAATATAATTAAAGTGCAACTATACGCACTTCATCATTTCCATGGATAACTGGAAAGTAGCTGTGCAAATAATGGAGACAAAGAAAAGCCTTATAGTTCATGATAGAAATAAGATTGTTAGAGCTCAAGGTTGTATAAGTGTTCTGGGGAACAACAAATCTTTTCTCCACCTATTATTTTCATATCTCCTCTACTATGGTCAAAGAAAAATATTTAGATGACTTTAAATATCTGGTTAAAATCTTTGCAAAATTTATTGAGTCCTACTGTTGACAATAGATAACTATTTGGTGTAATCATTGGAGGTTGCCAATTCAATCAGTCTATTACAACTGCCAAATACAGACTTTGCTAATTATTCTTCATTTCTGTATAGTTATATACATTCTTTTTATTCCTCCTCACTGCTAATCTTTCCATACTTGCCATGTTAGGGCTGTTTTTAATTCCAACTTTCTTCCAATAAACCTGTATTTTAGCTATCTAAAAAATATTACCAAACACCCACTGAATGCTATAAGAGGCGACAAAAAAAATTTAATGTAGAATTCTTCCCCTCAGGAGAGTAAGCCACTTAATTCTGATCTTTCTTAGTAGCAGTCAACTGCAAATTCTGATACAACATCTTGTTTGGGGAGAAATATATAAGCCAAATCTTATGCTTCTCACTGTGACAGAATCCACAGTGAAAGGCTGACTGCTTTAGAGCAGACTGAAGTAAACAGAATGAGAGTGGGGAGGGGGGAGAAAAGAAGAACCTGGTGACCATGTGTTAAATGGATTTCAAGTGTGGGGATGCTCAAGACAGACAGATCAACTAGGTTTACTAGGAAGAACTGTCAGTTTGGAGCTCTTATGGCACATGATCATTTCACCTGTTATCAATTTACATATCTCTACCCAGGTTTATTTCCCCTTATCTTCCTCTTCCTGTCTCTTCTTTTTTATCCTACTATGTGTTATAGAAATTGCAAAGTAGAGCACACGGGAGCCACAGCAACATTTAGAAGAACTCAACATGGTCAGCGAACATAATCTTTAGTTTTACCCAGAAAGAAAATGTTTGCACTTCAGATCTCAAAAATGAGTGACAGATTCTCCCAGAGTGCCTCCCCGGCTTTGCTGGTTCCCTTGACTATGCCCACAGTTTTATAAGTAGTTATCCTTAAGCCTATCTTTGACTGATTTGATTTGAATTTGCTTAAGAATGTGCTGTATATTTGCTATTTTGAGATTTCATTGCTCACCAATAAATGAAGTAATCCTTAGAGGAATTTTGTAAGGATAAAATCACATAATGCATCTAAGGCTTCTAACACAAACTTCCAGTTAATAAATGACAGTTATCATCATTACATCCTTTTATTAAGTCTCCAATTCATCAAAACAAAAAATACAGAATCACACAACTTTACCTCTGCAATGTTCTTTCCATGCTTTCAAGCAGGCAGTTAAGGCTACCATTTCAACTCGAAATTTCACTGAGTTACTTTTACATGATTTCAAAAACTCTTCCAGGTTCTTTATTCCAGAGTTTAAGTTTTCTTTCATTTCCTCCTCAATAGAAAATGACAGAACACTCCATTTTTTCTCCTCTTTCTCTTCTTCCTTAGCAAATAACCTCTTTTTATTCTCTCTAGTAATTATTTCAGCCTTGGTCTCCTGCCCAAAAAGGGGGGGGGGAGCGAAAGCATATCATAAAACAAGTTGGAAATATTCCAAGATTAAATTTCATATATGAGACAATATTTTTAAGTGTATATTGGTTATTTTGACCATCATCCCATTCTTGAATAGGAACAATTTTTAGGTTCAGTATTTATTTCTTAAAATTAAAGCCTCTGTTAATTGAAAACTTATTACAATTAAATTTAATCACTATAAAGCCTCCGCAGATAATTCTGTAGATTTCTGAGTTGTATAGATTATAAATCAAAGAGTAAATTAATAAAATTGGAAACACCAGGCCACTGTTTTCTCATGTCTCCTGCATTGGTTCTTGCTGCTCTCTCTAGAATGGATTTTCCTCTTCCATTCTTCCATGGTCACCTCCCTGTCTCCTACTTATCCTTCAAGATATTTCTTCCATGAAGCCTTTCCTAACTCCCAAGCCTAACTCATATATTCCTTCTCTGCCAGGGCATCTCTCTATCAAAGTACTCACTACACATACTGTAGTTATGATTTTACTTGTCATACCTCCGATCTAGATTAACTTCCTTGAAACAGAAATATGCTATAGTTGTCTGTATGTCTTAAGCACAAAACATTTAGCTTGTAATATTTGATAAGTGAATCAGGAAAAGTGAAAGCAGATGAAGGAAAGGAGTGGATAGAAAGGAACAACATAAATACAACTGATTTGCTTTATCTAGATAAGCTTTTCCAATGGACTTAAACTCAATATGGACCCTCTTTACTATACTTTTACCAATCTGATTTATTAATCTGCAAAAACAAATTAAAGAATTGTATTCACAAGAGAATTCTATAAACCTTCCACTATTCTGGTTAGTCATGAAATTAATATATAAATTTTGTCTACAATGAAGTCAATATTAGTTGTCTGCACTTTCTCAGTACTTAATTCTAATCAACATTATTTGAGGTTTCCCAATGTTTTAATCTGCCAAATGTACTGTTCTATGTTAACTCAGCATGGTTCTTTCTCAATAAGACAAGGGTGACCTTGGCGCTTTGCCATGCACAATGCTTATTATATCCTGAATATGCAGACTTATTAAACGGTTGCTAGAAGAGCACATTTATGTAGTACTGAGAGTGTTTAACTCTAATGAGATAATTTATTTAATTTCTAATAATGTAAAAGAAAAAATGGGATTTTTTCAGTCTTCATACCTTATACTATGTAATGAGAATTTTTGCTGCAAACTTTCTATTTTATAACATCGCCCTAAAAAAAAAATAGAAACTTCTTTGTAGCCCTAAATGAAAATGGAAAAGTTGTAATTGGATGATTTCACCAACAATAAAATTGACTATGAAAATAAAAAGGAGGTTGTCACTACAAGGAGAAAAACAATGACCACCTACCTGGGCTCAGAAAGGCTGCTTTTTAGCTACTAAAGCAAAAGTGCCCATTTCTGCTTGGACTTTTTAAAAAATGTCAGCTTTACTGAGTTATTATGGAAAAATATAATTGTAAAATATTTAAAGTGCACATCATGGTGATTTGATATATGAATACATGTAGTTGAATTTCCCCCATTGGGTTAAGTAACCCACCCATTACCTCACACATTTATCTTCTTGGGGGAGAAAACATTTAAAATCTACTCTATTAGCAAATTTCAATGATGCATTAGAGTGTTATCAACTACAGTCACTATATTTTACATTAGCTTCTCAGACACTATTCATAGCTGAAAGTTTGTATCTTTTTACCAACCTCTACCTATTGCCCCACCCACCCAGTCTGTGGCAACCATTTTTCTACCCTCTGCTTCTATGAATTTGACTTTTTTTTAATTCCACATGTAAGTGATAACATGCAGTATTTATCTTTGTCTGGTTTACTTCACTCAGCATTGCCAGGTTATCCATGTTGTCACAAATGGCAGGAATTCCTTCTTATGGATAAATAATATTCCATTGTATATGTATATATCATATCATCTTTATTCATTCATCCATTGATAAATGTTTACACTGTTTCCCTATCTTGACTATTATAAATAATGCTGCCATGAACATGGGAGTGCAGATAATCTCTTCCATAGCCTATTTTCATTTCCTTTGATAAATCCCGAGAAGTGGATTGCTAGCTCCTATGGTAGTTCTATTTTTAATTTTTTGAGTAATCTCCATATTGTTTTCATAGTAGCTGCACATTTACATTTCCACACACAGTACATAAGGGTTCCCTTTTCTCCAAATCCTTGCCAACACTTGTTACATCCTGTCTTTTTCATGACAGCCATTCTGACAGGTCTGAGATAATATCTCATTGTGGTTTTGACTTGTATTTCCCTGATGACTGATGATGTTGAGTACCTTTCCATGTACCTGTTGGCCATTCATATATCTTCTTTGAAAAAAATTCTATTCAGTACTCAGTCCATTTTTAAAATCAGATTGTTTGGTTTTGGGGGTTTTTTTGCTATTAAGTAATATGACTTCTTTAAATATTTTAGATATTAATCCCTTATCAGGTGTATGATTTGCAAATATCTTCTCCCATAGAGTAGACTGCTTTTTCATTTCATTGATGGTTTCCTTTGCTGTATAGAAGCTTTTTAGTTTGACGTAGTCTCACTTATTTATTTTTGCTTTTGTTAGCTTTGCTTTTGATGTCAAATCCAAAAAAAAAAAAAAATTTCATAGCTAAGACCAATGCCAAGGTCCTTACCCCTGTTTTCTTCTAGGAGTTCTGTGGTTTCAGGTCTTTTATTCAAGTCTTTATTTTGAGTTGATTTTTGTGTATGCTGTAAGGTAGGGTCTAGTTTCATTCTTTTGCAGGTGGCTGTCCAATTTTCCCAACACCATTTATTAAACTGTCTTTCCCCCCCATTGCATATTCTTGCCTTTTTCTTGAATTAAGTGTATATGTGTGTTTCTGGGCTCTTTATTCTGTTCCATTGATCTGTATATCTGTTTTTGTGCCAGTACCATACTGTTTTGATTACTACAGCTTTGTAGCATATCTTGAAATCTGAGATTATGATACTTCCAGTTTTGTTCATCTTTTTCAAGATTGCTTTGGCTATTCAGGGTATTTTGTGGTTCCATACAAATTTTAGGATTATTTGTTCTAGTTCTGTGAAAAATGTTGTTGGTAGTTTGATAGGGATTGCATTAAGATTGTAGATTGCTTTGGGTAGCATGGACATTTTGAGCACAGAATATCTTTCCATTTTTTTGTGTCACCTTCAATTTTTTTGTGTCACCTCCAATCCATGAGCACAGAATATCTTTCCATTTTTTTGTGTCACCTTCACTTTCTTTCATTGATGTTTTATAGTTTTCACAGTACAGGTCTTTCACTTCATTGGTAAAATTTATTTCTAGGCATTTTGATGCAATTATAAATAGAATTGTTATCTTAATTTCTCTTTCTGCCAGTGTGTTATTTGTGGATAGAAGCACAACAGATTTCTGTACATTAATTTTATATCCTGCAACTTTACTGAATTCATTTATTAGTTCTAACATTTTTTTGGTGAAGTCTTTAGAGTTTTTTTTATATATAATGTCATGTCAACAGCGAATAGTGAAAGTTTTACTACTTCCTTACCAATTTGGAGGCCGTGTATTTCTTTTTCTTGCCTAATTGCTCTGACTAGGGCTTCCAGTACCATTTTGAATATCAGTGGTGAGAGTGGGCATCCTTTTCTTCCTGATCTTAGACAAAATGCTTTAAGATTCTCACCTTTATCATTATATAATAACTTTCCTTATCTCTTAATACAGTCTTTGCCCTAAACTCTATTTTCTCTAATATAAATATAGCTACCCCTGCATTTTTTGGCTTCCATTTGCATGGAATATCTTTTTCCATCCCTTTACTTTCAGTCAGTGTGTGTCCTTAAAGCTGAATAAAGCTGAAGTGAATCTCTTTTAGACAGCATATAGTAGGGTATTTTATTATTATTATTATTATTATTATTATTATTATTCACTCATCCCCTCTATGTCTTTTGATTGGAGAATTTAGTCCATTTACATTTAATGTAATTATTAATAGGTATTGACTTACTATGGCCATTAACTTTTTTCTGACTGATTTACAATTCCTTTGTTCTTCTCTTTTTCTCCTCCTTTGTGATTTGATAGCTTTCTGTAGTGGTACACTTAGATTCCTTTTGCTGCTTTTAGTGTATGCAGATCAGTCTCTTTTAGGGAAAGACTGGGAATAAGCATTTCAGTCTGCTGCCTCTGTGCCCTGGGGGGGATAGTCAGGATATAGTCTTGTGGGTCCTGTGGATGCAAGTTTTGTTGGCATTCAAAGCTAGATGTTATGAGGGGCCCTTTCTTCAGGTGGAACTCAAAAGTTGGGGTGCCAAACCAAAAATCTGGTCCCAATCCTTTCCTCCTGAGAGGAAAACTGAGGCTTGTGAGTTTTCTCCCAATTGTAGGTCTCTGCACCAGGGATGGGGTTTATAGGGAGTGTATGTCTCAGCCTCTTCTACCTGTTTCATTGTGGGATTTTTCTCATTTGTCCAATGTATAGGAGTTATTTCTCTAGTTTCTGGATTGCTTTCAGAGAGAATTTTTCTATATTTATCTGTAAATTCTGTATGTCTATGGGAGAAGATGAGTTCAGGAACCTCTTATATTGCCATCTTAAACCAGAATTCAAAAGAACTATATTTTTAATTTTATTTCAACATTTCTAAATCTAAGCCTTTAGTAACCTATTGTCTTATATTCTTTTTCAAATACATATACATTTTATTATGTATACAGGACCATATATAACCTTGTATATGCAGGTTAGACTTTCTTACCAAGTAAATAAAATAATCTAAGTGATCATATATAAAAAGAAAAAGCATAGCATGGAAAGAAACTACCAGAGGAACTGAACAAATAGCAACTTAAGAAAAGTCAATAAACAGTTTTAAAATTTGATAGAATTAATAGAACCTACATGTGCCTTTTTGTTCTTGGGTGCAATGACCTTATTCTTTGGCTTGACAGCTTGAGTTACAACAACTTTTGGAGAGACTGATTCTAATGATTTCCCATAAAATCGTTGAAAAACATGATACTTCTGCACAGACCTAAGACAATGAGGATCTCTAGATTTTTCTGAAAAAGAAAGACTTAAAATGTAAAACTACTATATTTTTTCAACAGCATTCTCATTAATTCTTCATACCATCCCACCCACACATGTACTTTTTAGTTTGAAATAGTAATTTAGTAATTTAGGTTTACCTTTGTTAAAGAGGGAATCAAGTCAGGCAAATTCTTGTCTATGGAGTAATTCCTTACCTTATTTAAAAGACGGAAGTGACAAAACACTCTTTCACTGCCTACCTCCTAAAGCAAATATCAGGATGCTACAAAGAATAACAGATTCTGCATATTACCTCTGTTATTTGCCCTATGAATGAGTTTAAGAAGATAGAGGCAAAATCAAGAAGATATCCATCTTGGATATCCTGGCTTCTGGCACTGCTTGACAGAAAAATCCTTACTCTAAACCATAACCACAGAGCCAAGAGCTTGGCAACTGAAAAACACTTTCACTATGGAAAAATCCAAAGACATAGGAAATCCCAACAATCAAGGTCTGATTTACTTCCATACCCAAAGAAAACTACAATTAAGGGGATAATTAAGCTGGTTGATTTTTCTATGTCTGTATCTACATATATCAAATTAAACCATTTTGAGGGATATTAATGGTTAATCTAAAAGATCCCCTCACATCTTGCAGGATCTTAGTAGCTGTTTATGTAAGCAGGCTGATAAGTATGAGCGAGCTTACTATGCACAGTCCTAGATTCTTCTGAAAGTAAGTTTTGTCAACTTGAAGAAGGGTGGAGGTGAGATAGGGGTAGACAAATATGGATGAAGACAAAGGATTAACTAAGGAGACAAGATCCCTAAATCAATCTCTGTTGATCTACTTTTAGTGGTTTCCTGGGCCTCCTTTTGCAGTTCCAACCATCCTGAGAATGAAGGTATATAAAATACTGGCACTCGTTACACGTAATCAACTGGGTAGTGCGAAAGTAGCTGAAATTACTTGAAAGACTATTGCCTCAGTATTATGAACTTCAAGGAATACACAAATATCTTAAACTACACACCATATTTATTTAAAACAGTTTCATATTTTGTGCTGACAAATGCAGTATTGCTGCACTTCCTAGGACATCAGCATTTGTGCTCCTACGACTCAGTAAACAGAGTGGGACTTTTTCATTACCATCTTTACTGACATACATCCAAATATCTTGTAGACTATTATTATTCAAGAAATATAACCTGCAGCTCATGATATGATGATTTTTTATTACAAAATAAAAAGAATGAAACTGATTTTAATTTATTTCACCAGAGTCACATAACTCACCATCAAATTGACACTTCGTCCTGTCATAATCATCACTAAGGGGTCTGTGAGAATGCCAATGCACAAGTTCATCAAATTCCTTTTGTTTAACTAGTGAAGTTACAATAGGATCATCACTATGAGACAAAAAGAAACATATGCATATTTTAAATTTCATGCCTCTAAATAGAACACAGCACAGATTTCATTTTTTTAATATTTTAAAAAATCATAGCCACCTTTCCTCTTTCTGTAATATGATGTGGGTGTTAGAATCCAAAAAGCAGTTTATTAGGTGCTTAAGAACCCAGAATCTACCCCACATCTCTAACAGTCCCATCAACACCAACAAATATTCATTCATTAAGCCACGAATTAACAACATCCAGCGGGAGTTATTTTACTCTAAGATTAAAACCATGTTGATTTTAACCTAGTTAAGATCAAAGACATTGATAAATTTGTTATTAAACTCATTATTTGTTACAAACACATATTGCATCTAATATACTCCATTTAATTTGTTGCATTTCATAGAATCTTTAATGAGTAAGTCATCCATTCCACCCATTTACTGAGACATTTTTGGTCTTATACCTCTTTAAGAAAGGCAAATCTGTCAAAAGGTCACCAACAAACTTATCAACCACTTCACATGACATTGAAATAAATCCCAAATTAGGAATGTTTTCCTTGGCGGTATCTGTAAACAAGTAAAAAAAAAATTAAGACAGTGTCAAATGTGAAACTTTCACATAGAAACATTACACATCATGTTCTAAAACCTTACATTAAAAAACATTTTTCATTGATTTTAATTACATTTATCAATTCCAGACCTTCCCATAAAGCTATTGCCCACATTAAAACATTTTGGAACATAGCAGAGTATGAAGAAATAGGCAGCATTTAGGGATGTTGATAGGTAGGTAGAAAAATAACTGTTTCCTATTTTTAAATGTTTATTTCCTTCATTGTCCCTTATTACAAGGAATTTGAATATGGAACTCTCACTCAGAGACCTCCTACATAAATACTTTTATGGAAATGAAATGTTAAAAAAGTAGGGGAAAATATATGGATAATAATGAAATAATTTGATATCATCACAGTATTTTCTTACATCCTCTTTGATATTATATGTATGTATATATATATGTATCTGCACATATACACATACATGTGATAGATACAATACATATCACACATATATCCTATATATAATAGTGGCTAATGAATGCCTTTTTATTTATATCTGGTTCATAATTCTAGGTAAGCTGCCATTGCTCTGCCCATTATCCCCTTGGTGTTCACTGTTCCTGTGTTTGCCTGACACCTTCTTACTACAGGTCTCTGCAACTCTCTGCCTGAGCACTTTTCTTCTTACAGCCATGTGAAGAAGGCCAGAAGTGCTAAGGATTTAATGCCCCAGAGATAGCCTCAGCCAAAAGTATGACAGGAGTTGCAGGTTAAATGCCCCATCTATCTTGCTCTTCAGGTAAGACATCTCTGAGGTGGTTTGTACAACATTCTAATATTCCCAGTAAAATCTACCTGTAGTTGCCCACAGTGGAAACCTACTCATTAACATGTCCTACATTGGTTTTATTCTCTTCCTGATCTTACCTAACCACTCCCTTATTTGATCTTCAAACCCCTTATTTGATCTTCCTCAAGAGTTTTTGTCTGGTAGAACTTATCTGGACATAAGAGTATATATATTCTTCCCCATATTCTGAAAAATATACTTATATTGATACATCCCAAATTCCCATTAGATTTCCTTCTCACGTTCCTTAGGGGGATATTTTATTCTTCCTGAAATTCATCAAATGGATGATACTATGATGATGGATAAATCAGTTTCTGTATTTCTTTTCTTAAGATTTTATTTTTATTTATTTATTTGTCAGAGAGAGAGAGCACAAGCAGCGGGGGGAGCAGCAGGCAGAGGGAGAAGCAGACTCCCTGCTGAGCAAGGAGCCTGATGTGGGACTCAATCCCTGGGATCATGACCTGAGCTGAAGGCAGACGCTTAACCAACTGAACCACCCAGGAGTCCCAGTTTTTGTATTTCTAAAAATGTTTATATTACTTCTTCATTCTTAAATATTTTAAGAAACATATAATTTCACTATATTGATTTCTATCATTGTTATAGAGGAAGTCTATTATAGACTAATTTTTGTTCCTTTCTAGGTAACTTGTTAAGATACTCATTTTCTATATTCTATAATTATACTATATTGTATCCAGTGTGTGTATTTATCTGTGAGTGTGTATGTTCATATGTTTCATTTATCCCACTTGGGATTCATCATATATCCTAAATGTGCAAATTCTTGTCTTTCCTCAATCCAGGCAAATACCCAGCCATGATCTCTTCAAATATTGTCTAACCCGCATTGGCTCATTCTTTCCTTCTGAATCTCCAAATGAATAAAAGGCATTATATCTTGTTTTTTGACATATCTTTTATATTGCTTCAGCTCTTATTTCTTTTGTTTGTTTTTTTAGGTTTTTTTTGCAGATTTATTGAGATGTAATTGACACATAAGCTTAGGGTGTATAACATGGTTATACACCTCATCTCTACTTTTAAGTATAATTCTTTTGATGAATTTCTAGTTCACACATTCTCTTTAGCAATATCCAATCAGCTTTTTAACCTATCCATTGGCAATATTTTCATTTCTACAACTTTGATTACTTTAAAATATGAATGGTGTTTTATAGAACTTTGTAATTTTCTCATGTTTCAAATTTCATATTTTATTTCTTTGAGCATTTTAAATACACATATAGTATATTCTACTTTTGATAATTACAAAATATGAAGTTCTAGCTCTATAGCTTACAGTTTCTCTTAGATTATTTCCTCTACTGCTTTATAAATTCATATTTGTACTCCTATTTGGCAGAATATGAGTAAAACCTGTATCTTGTAAAACCAGGGTTTATGATATTTTTAATTTTTATTTATTTATTTGTCAGAGAGAAAAAGAGAGAGCACAAGCAGGGGGAGTGGCAGGCAGGGGGAGAAGCAGGCTCCCTGCTGAGCAAGGAGCCCAATGTGGGACTCAATTCCAGGACCCAGGGATCATGACCTGAGCTGAAGGCAGACGCTTAACTGACTGAGCCACCCAGGCGTTCCCAGGGTTTATGATGTTTTTCCTCTACAAAGAATGTACTAGATTCTTCTGATCACTTTAAGCTAATTTTCTGGCTTAGAGTTGTCTTGACACTACTAAGAATAACTGAAACCCCAGATTCTTGGGAGGATGGGCCTATAATTGGAAATCATCAGAGTAATTCATTTTGTATTAGCCAGAGATCCATCTCTCCCTTTATTTTTGGCTCCTGGAATTGCACTTCTATTGTTTTGAGCTTAGCTATGATAATACAAAAAGATGTTTGGTGTGTCTTAGCAGCATTTCAATTGTTTCCCAAAAGAGATTTTTCCCCTAACCTATACTGCCATATTGATAGAAATTGATAGAAACAGAAGTCACATATATCTGGCTTTTTTTTTTTAATTGGCAACAACATTAGCTACAAGCAAAACATATAACTCTTCAAAATTATAGTCATAGCATATTCTCCCAATGATATAGCAAAAGGTAATCTTATTTTTATTTATTATTTATTTATTATTATTATTTAAATGCATAGTGCCAGAAAATTATTTAGATATACAGCATTTAATTAGTAGTGTTTTCAAAAAAATTTCCAGAGATCTGAACTTTATTTCAAATTAATTTAGAGATTTATTACCTTTGATTGGTGATGGATTCTTTTCAAGAAAAGAAAGTTTTGTTGTTCTCAGAGGAAATGGCTTTCCAACAGCAAACTTTCTGACCAACTTTGACACAGTATTCCAGAGATGTTCATAATCTTTCATAATGACATCTCCCAAATTCAAATGTAGGCCTATATAATAGTTAAATGTACTAAATATTAAAAGTCATTCCTATATATACAGAAGCATGCACTTTGACTAAATTCATAGAGTTCTGAAATATTTGTCAGAGTGAAATTTTCAGTGAGTTCCACTCTGCACCTAAAGGAATAAATTACAGCTATCATAACAGTATAATAGATTATGAATATCTATTTTATAAAGTAAAAAAAGGTTATGACACATATAATTTTACAACCAATAAAACTGAATATAACTTATTTTTCAGAGATAAGAAAATTTGTAGAGAGTTGCTAAATTTATATGTAGCTAACTCATTCCTATATTTGCAATGTGTAGGAACCAAATTCTAGAGGTCAAAGAAGCTTCAAGAATACTCAATGAGTTATAGCTCTCTTAAAACATGTGTTTTTTTTTCTTTGACTATTAAGAAACAGCAGAAAATTTATTCTAACAAAATAATTCAAAGAAAGAAAAACAAATTACATATAACATATAAATCAGCTTTGTCTTTGGAAAAAAATTAAAATTTCCTAAATATCTCATAGTAGTAGGATGATTACCTTGATTAGAGTAAATATTTTTAAAAATGTAATGCACATATTTTTTTTTTATATTTTTATTTATTTATTTGAGAGAGAGAATGAGAGAGAGAGAGCATGAGAGGGGGGAGGGTCAGAGGGAGAAGCAGACTCCCTGCCAAGCAGGGAGCCCAATGTGGGACTTGATCCCGGGACTCCAGGATCATGACCTGAGCCGAAGGCAGTTGCTTAACCAACTGAGCCACCCAGGAGTCCCAAGTAATGCATATATTTAAATGAAAATTTCAACTATTAAAATTATCTAGAAATGCCAAATACCCAAACACATATTTTTCGAGAATACTTGAGTATATTAAGTTAAAAATGTTTTAAAATATAACACTCACTCTGACTGCAACTAAATAAAACTTATATACATGTATAAACAAAGATTGAAAGGAAAATAATTGCTATGTTATATGTTGGACATAGAAAAATGATTTTGAAGTTTTAAAGACTGTATAATGTTTATCTCTGGATAAAAGTACAATTATTATAATATACTAAGGTGGTACCTTCAACATTTTCATTTTCATAGTAAAAAGCAATATTCTTCAACAAAAGTTCATCACTTAAGTCCGAAAGGTGAATTAAATTCAGATTCCAAAACTCACAAATGTTTATATTACTTAGGATGAAATATTCACACCACTTTTCCTGAAAATTAGATATAAAACCAAGTCATTGACAATTGTTATATTAACAATAAACTATAATACAACTTCAAATGCATCAATAAACCAATGAAAGACAAGGTGGCAAGGCTATTCCAATTCTTATTAATATAAGTCCTTTCAGGCTGGATAATGATGAATGCTTTATTTCGTAAAAGGTTAGATCATAAAATAAAACCAAACTGGCCAAAAAATTAATTCAGCATAATTCTTTATTCTGAATCATAGAAATCTGTGTTTGACTCAATACAATTTTTTTCTCACACAAATTCACAGATGTAGTCCCAATGCTACAGAAATACTATTGTTTTCTAATGTGCCTCTGTTCTTTACTGAGGTTTTAATGTTTTCCGAGTCTACTTTCAGGTCAAAAGAGGATTTAAGAAATAGCATTTGATTGTTTAGGGGTCTAGAAGATGCTGAATCCTTCAAACTCAAAGATTCCCTTCCATCTACATTGGTGTGCACCTTCTGAGTTTATAATAGTGAGGCTACGTTCATGCCTAACACAGAATGTCTTCATGCCTAACACAGACAGAATGTCTTCACTGGCCACACTTAGTTCAGAGTTGAGTAGACATGAGTAAACAACCTTAGTGAGTGAGAGCTTAGTCATCTTTTCCGTCAATGATAGTGTTTGGGGAATTAGGTTCAGTGGGGGAAAACCGAGGCTTCTCTGCTCCACACTCCCTCGATGATAAAACCAAATGCTTTCCAAATGTGAACAATTTATTTATCTATATTGATGTGGAAATAGAACCCAGAATTATCCAACACAAATATAACATGAGTAAGCTGCATATTTTATTCTAAACTTCCAGAAGTCACATTTTTTTAAAAACAAGCAAAATTTTATCTTATTTAACTCAACATATCCAAAGTATTATCATTTCAATGTGTAATCAATATAAAAATTTTAACAGAGTAGTTTACATGTTTTTCATACTAGTTTTTTTTTAAATCTGGTGTTTGTTTTAAGTTTAGAACATATCTCATTTCAGACTACTACATTCCACTTGTGGCTATGGGCTACTGCTTTGGACAACATAGCTCTAAACAGATGTTAGGGAGATTGCCCAAGGTTCATGAAAAGTCGTAAATATCAAGGTAGGATCCTCCTACCTACAGTGTAGTTTTAACTACAATAAAATACTAAAGAGCTCTCCACAGAGCCATAGAACAGTGGTTCTCCAACTTCAGCAGGAGCCTCACCTGGAAAGATTGTCAAATAAAACACAGATTGCTAGGTATCATCCCAAGATTGATTCAGTAGCTATGCGATGGAGCCTAAGAATTTGCATTTCTAACAAGCTCCCAGGTGATGCTGATGCTGTTGGTCAAGAGAACCATACTTGGAGAACCACTGCCATGTAAGGATCTCCCCACCCAATCCTTTCCCATAATACCACTGAGTAAACAAATGGTAATATGTGAATATAGTACAGCAAATATTCCTCATTTTATTAACTTCAATTAAGAAGTGCCTCCATATGGTCTCCAAGTGTCACTATTTGAGTAAACATGAAACTCTCCTTTCAAAGTTTGCTTAGTTGCTTTCTCCAGAGACCTCAGAATATGCCTTTTATTGTAAAAATTTCAGAGGCTACCTGAATTTACACTTCCAGCTACTGGGTGCTACCAAAATGAAGCATGGAGGATAGAAAAGACCAGAGGGGTGCTTGACTATGGGATAATCAGCTGTTTCCCCTTATCAAGGGAGCAGAGGATGGTGGGAAGGGCACAGATTTGGAAGCTGGACAGAAATGCAGTTATCTCCCACCTTGATCATTTATTAGTTGTGCTAATGGGCCACTTAGGCTTTCTGAACCCAAGTTTTTCAACTATAAAATGAAGACATAAGAGGAGTATTGTTATATCTTTATGAGGTAATATAGGTAAAGTACACACATAAAACTGGTGCAAAATAACTAGCAGCTATTTCTATCATGTCCGCAATCCATGCCATCCTAATTGAAGAATGATGTTTTCTATCAGCTAAAACCACAATGTCTTGCAGAACCATCTTAGAACACTCCATAATTTAGAAAAACTTTGTAATATCCTTTCACCTAACTACTACTGTCCATAAAAATTGTTTATAAAACTCTTTATAAATGAAAGTTTTCATTTATATGAAACTTACATACAGAGCATTCATCTAAAACTGTAAATCAATACCACATTACATTCATACCATTCAGTAACTGAGTATATGTAATTCAACCTACAAAAAGTTGACAAAAAATCAAATATTATCTGAGAAATAACTTTACAACAAAACTCGTAGCACAATAATATTGATGTTATAATGCATTATTTCAATATCTGACATGTCATATCAATAGGTTTAATGTATTAGTCTGACATGACTTTTATTGAAATGTCTAAAGTAAATTAGGGGTGCCTAGGTGGCTTAGTCCGTTAAGCATCTGCCTTTGGCTCAGGTCATGATCTCAGGGTCCTGGGATCAAGCCTTGTCTCCAGCTACCCTGCTCAGCAGGGAGTCTGTGTCTCCCTCTCCCCTCTCTCATTGTCCCTCTCCCCGCTCATGCATGCACTCTCTCTCTTTCTCTCTCAAATAAATAAATAAAATCTTCAAAATTAAATAAATAAAGTAAACTAAAAGGAGCTGGAAATACAGTCTTCCTATTCCTTTAATTAACCATAGTCAGCCTCTTCCTAACAGACTATCAAAATGCCTAGAGGAAAGTTCCCCAATGGGATTTGAGATATAGGAAAATATTTTCTCCCCCAAGCATCAGCAGAACCACATGGTATTTTGTATACCACATCATAAAACCTTTTACACTTCTGTTAGAGCAGTTGTAAATGCTCACAAATATAAACCTAGATACACAATCAATGTATTTTTCTGTTTCTGAACTTTGTTGATCCTATGTACACATTATGCTATTTCAGTAAATATAATGTAAGCACTACAAAGTAAAATCAGTCCAATTCAATTACTTCCTAGTCACACTCAGATCAAGTCTCTTCATGAGTCCCCCATGCCAGGCTTTGACAAGAGTGTTTATACACTTCTGGTAAAAAAAAAAAAAAAAAAAAGAAAAGAAAGAAAAAAGAAAAAAGTGTGTATAAAAAGATTTATACATTTTGGTAAAAAACGGTGCCCACCATTCAGTATGGCTGTCTCCATTTATACCTCACTCTTCAGTATTCTACACGGGCAATAAACCCAGGTCCCTTGAATAGAGATTAAATGGTCAGTGGCTGTGGAGTGGCTTCCATTTGGTTCCATGGAGCTCATAGTCTACTGAAATACAGTCCTCAGATTTAAAGGGGTCTTTTTCATGTAATTTCCCACTTATCCCCTCATCTGGCTTTTGAGAATTCTGTAAAGACTAGCAGCTTCCCCTTCCCTCTCAATCAACTAGCATGACTCCTTTAGAGCCTACAAGAACTTTCAGACCCTCATTCAGGAAGTACAGGGACCGTTTCCCACATTTTCATGGATAGACACAACATTGCATTTTCCAGTCCAATTCCCTGGCACATATAGCCACAGGTATCCTACATGAGACTAGCTATCTCCCAGTCTGTGTCCTGAAAACTAAATCACAGGTTCTCTCTATGCACAGACCTCTGAAACTTTAGGGGGATTCTATCATGCCCTTCCCACCCCACTCATGGTGACTTCATTTATTCTCCAATTCTCTCCCCTCCTCAATTCACGGACACTTTATGAGGAAGGTGCAATGTGGACAGAAAAAGGTGATTGTCTTTTTCAATAATGTTTGTTATATATAGATCAATATTATTCTTTCAAAGGGCAGGAAATTTGACTTTTTTCCCCAATCCTTAAAGTAAGGGCACATGCCAGTCCAACCAGAAGTTGGGGTTGTAAGGAGGGAGGTCATGCAGAAAAGATCTTATCACAGGAGTTTTTTACCTGATAGAATTTAGGGAGTTCATGAACTAGATCAGAAAATTATATTTTTATTTTTGCTAACTTGTAGCAAAAATGTATATTTTCAATAATAAACCCAGATGATATGTCATATTCCTATGCCATAGCTGGGATTTGGCACCAGTAGAAATAACATATTTTCACATTACATTGCAAGTGCTACAAACATCTAGAGATACTGTTTATACTTATCATACATTGAAAGTATGATAGTTATTTGATTGTCTAATGTAGTAATGAGGTAATACATATATTACCACATCACAAATGTATGTTTTAATATTTTAATAACTATTTCAATATAACTGATACCCTTGTAATCATAAGTATCTTATTTTATGCATTTATATTATCCTGAAGAAGGGAGAATTCCCTTCATAGAATTCATCAGACAGCCATAGGGGACCCTAGGGAAAAAAAGGGTAAGAAACCCTAAATGATTCTTCTCAGGTCATTCTGACACACTTGTTTGCTGAGAATGGGAAAGTGAGCAAATAGAGACTTGGATGCAATTTCTGATTCTGCCCCGATAACATTACTTCCCTTGCAATTTTAACAGCTAAAAGCTGTTCATCCTTCCACACAGTTTTACCTCAGGATTATGAAGTAGAGGTGGTAGCCTCATCAATCACCAACTCATCATTTCCAAACTATTTTTTACACTATTCTATAAAATTCAGCCTTCCATCTGTCTGTAGTATTCAAAAGTCCTCCCTATCATGTTCATTTAGCAAATTCCTTGCTCACTTCCCCTCACTTAATGATTTTTTTCACGCCTGGCTCACATTCTTCCTCTGCCTGTCTTAACAACACCATGTATAGCTTTAACCTCCAAGCAGACAATTATTGCAACATTTCTTGAATTTCTTATATCCAGTGACTCCCTCACCACTCTATCCATTTCACATTCTCATGGACACACCCATGACCTTGTCATCACCAAAACTTACCTTCCCTCTCTGTCCTGGTTTGCACTTCCCCTAGAAGCAGACCTTGAGACTCAACTTCAAGTAATAGAGTTTATTTGGGAATGATCACAAGAAACACCAGCCAGGGAATGCAGAAGTAAGACAGGAAAGAAAAGAAACCAATAAAGGATACATTATCCAATCCATGACCACTGGGGACAACTGGAACTTAATTCCACTGGGGAATTCTAGGAGACAGTGTAGAATACATTTCAGTATTTATTTCAACTTACATACAAGGAAGCTGGGGTCTTCATCCACCAATTCTGCATCTATCATTGGTGGGGGGCACGAGAATTAACACCCAGCATTTCAGATCAAGCAAATAAATCCTTCAGGTGGAGAGTTGCAGACATTTATAGTAAGATGGAAAAATAAGTGAATGGGAGACATAGACAAGGAAATAATAAGTGTATGCCACCCTCCCTGATGAATAATTCCTTACTCCCACCTGTTGACCCATCCCTCTAACTTTGTATAATGATCATTCACACCTCTTTATTGATCATATCAGGACCTCAGTTCTGGATAGGACCTATCCAGTAGAGTCTACTTGGTTTATCTCCATGAAACTTTGTTTTCTAGTCTATCATTTTTACCATCTTCTTGCAAGGATACTAAAATCTCTTTTCCTTTTTTCCTTTTTTCTTTTCCATAAAGCTATATAGATCCACTAATAGCTTTTCTGTGCCTAAATTATCTTGTCCCTTTTTTTATACCATCCAATCAGTTGCTTCCCTTGTGCTTATGGCCATGTTGCTGAGACTACTAGAAAAAGAAAATCATACAATAACACATATTGATGCCACTATAATTGTTTTGTCAAAAACTTCAAATTAGCTTTCAAAAGTGCTGGGCAGGACAGCATTATTGTTTCTCAATATAGTTTACTCCCCTAAGATCCCCAATAAATATTTCCAAAATATTTCATTGTTCTTAAACTTCTGGGCTTGTTTCCTCGCCACAACATTCAGCATGACTTTGTCTCCTACTTGACAAAGAAAATTAAACTAGCACATAGGAACAAAGTTATCTTACAACTTCCATAACAGCCAATGTTGCACTATTCTTTCCTTATTCTTTCCTGTAAGAATGGCAATATCACTCCCTCTATATAAGAACATACTCTAGACCCCAGCCCTCTCACCTTACCTTCCCTGTATTTTCATCCTATCCTCTCTCTTAATTTAAACATGCTCAGTCTTTGCCATTTTAAAAATATTCCTAATTGACCCACTTTCCTATCCCATTTTATCCTGAGTCACTTCCCTTATTCGCAACTCCTTACATATAAACTTCTCCTCACCTTTATTTTCTCTCTTCCACTCACTACTGAATCCACTCTACCATAGATTTTTGCTTCTAGCCTCTCCATTAATATTTTTCTTTTTTAAAAAATATTTTTTAAATATTTCTCTTAATTACAATCAACAGTGAGTCCTATGCCATTAAACCCAAAGTACTATTTTCAGTCCTCAGCTTCCTATAGTTCTCCATGGCATTTGGTACTATTAACCCACCTTTTGAAAAGCCCAGTTCCTTTGACCTTCACAATAATCCATTCTCTTAGCTTTACACTCTATTCATCTAAGTAGCTCCTTCTCAGTGTCCTTTGCCAGTGTCTCAATCTATTCCTAACCATTTAATATTGGAGGATCTCAGGTCTCTGTCCTTGGCCCTCTTGTCTTTCCCAAAATAATTTTATCCACTGCCATGGCATCAATTAACATCCATAGGCTAGTGATTCCCAAATCTTGATCCCCAATGCATTCTACTCTGCTAAGTTCCAAACCAGTATTTCAAATTGCTTAATAGATATCTCCATTTGGGTATCTCATTGGCATCTCAAACTCAGTATTTCCAAAACTGAACTTGTGATCTTCCTCTGCAATTACAGTTCATACAATGACATCAACCCTACAAATGCTCCAGCCAGAGACCTAGAGTCAGTTGACTCCTCCTTTTCCCTCATGCCCACACTTAACTTGTTAAATGATTGTTGAAATTGCCTATTGCCATGCATCCTTACTTACCATTTCCTTAGTCCCTAATATAACTAACACATGAACTGAGGTAACAGTCACCTAACTGGTTTCCCTAAATCCAGTTTTGTCTCTACAATGCACTCTCTGCATTGCAAGGCAAAGAAAAAAAAAATTTAATGAAAGTGCCATTCATCTGCCTGAAATCATTCAGTTGGTTCTCATTGTACTTATGATCAAGTTAAATCTCCATTCTCTTTACAGGATTTATATGGTCCTATATGATTTGTCTCTTATCCATCTCTTCAGCTTTATCACTTTCCCATATTCTTTCTATTCCAGTTACACAAGTTGTATTCCAGTTCCTTGATCATGTCATTCTCATGGTGACCCCACATGCTGTTTCATCTCCTAGCATCCAGTGTTCATCCTTTCTCCAACTTGCAAATCCTTCAAGATTTACATTACTTCACTTCTCTTCATCTCTTAAAAGAAGCCACCTTTTTCTAACTGAATTGGATCTTTTTATTAGCAGACTCTAAAGTATCCTGTAGTTCCTCCTTAATATTAATTTTAAAAATTCAACACCTATCTTCCTGCAAAATGTAGCTCTATGAATGTGGTGGGGTGAGATGGGTAAATATATTTTCTCACTGTATCCCCAGTGACTCATACAATGCATATACATTAGATAAATATTTGTGGACTAGCTTACTAATTGATTGGTTCTAAAATACTTTCCTTGAACATCTTGACTGCAAGTATCAAGATTTTTAAAATTTTTCCATTTAAATTGATCCACTAATCCCACTTCTGGGCATGAAGTCTAAGTCAATATCCCCAAATTAAAGGAAAAGGCTTCCTTTAAAAAAAAAAAAAAAGGAAAAGGCTTACACTCAAAGAACCTGGAAAATAACAGCATTTATAATACAATAATTAAAACCTCTTAATATCCTATAATAGAAGAATGGATGAGTAAACCATGGTACATCCATTAAAAAATAGTAGCCATTAAAAAATGAGGTTAACCACGAGTATGAAAGAAAATTTTAAAATACATGAAAAGAAAAATATTTATATATATTCATACACGAATATATATTCATTCCATTGTAATATATGAATTTATTTGAATAGTGTGGGTCGCTTGGTGTTTCTTTTGTTTTTGCTATTTTCCTAAAGTCTACAAATTTTCTCTAACTAACATCTATAATGGACAAAAATAACCATTACATTTATATCTTCAATTCCTCTCAAGAGCAGAACACAATGGTCACCAATCTCTTGTAATTAATGACAAAAAAACCTGATCTTGACAGAAATTAGAAGGAAAATAGAGAGGCTTTTTTTTTATCCTTAGATTGGGTATATATCATGCTGTTTGTTATTATTACCACAGTTGTTGAAATTAGGAAGAAATTGACTTAAGACATTAAATCTTTAAGGTTCCCAAAGGGCTGACAATATTCCCTTATAAATCTTTTTTTTTTTTAAATTAGGCTCCGTGCCAAGAGTGGAGCCCAACATGAGGCTTGAACTCACAACCTTGAGGTCATGACCTGAGCCGAAACCAAGAGTCAGACGCCTAACCAATTGAGCTACCCAGGCACACCCTTATAAATCTACTTTTGAAGGTGACTGTGGTTTCTTTATATCAAACAATGGAAACAAAAAAAATAAATAAACTAACAAAGATCATATTTACCATTTCTAAGAAAGTGTGAATGTTCTTAGTCCAGTGGGAAGTGATGAATCTAGTGCAGGCTCTTTGAGAAAGAGGTAAGTGGAGTAGGAAAACCACACTGAGACAATGCAGTTTACACAAATCTTCCATCTCTTGCAGGGCTAAGCACTTACTTTCCCCCTGAGTAAAATAAAGAAGGTAAAATAGAGATCAGCAGGCCATGAAATTGCGTGATACACATGCAGCACCACAAAGGTCGGCAGCCACATTCTGCTTTATTACACTCTTCATTGTATAGGTTTTTGAGTTTTTTTCTTCGTGCATAAATTTGGCTGCATATAAAATATAGATGTCAGGTAAGGGGGCAGGGAACTGCCAGCTCAATAACAGTTTACATAAAGCATTTTCTAAGTATTTTTAGTTAAGCTTAACTTCACATGAGCTGTCCCAGCAGCTAATGAAGTCATGATCCCACAGGACCTTGCAAGGATGGAGCCATCCTTTAAATGCCCTATTCTGTCCAAGGAATCATATTTTAAAAGTTACACTAAATAGTATCAGAGTGAAGAAACCAGGACACATCTAAAAAAAAACTTACCCAATTAGAAAAAGGGTAAAGAAATGGGCATATTTAACATGACGGGACAAGGACCTCTTCACCATCCTCAAATGTTTGCAGGGTTGTCACTGGAACAAAACTAAGACTTATTTTGGAGTGCCTCAAGTAGGGCCAAATTGGGTCTAATGACTAGAAATTCCAAAGAGATACACTTGGTTCGGTATCATTTTGTGATAATAATGTAAAATGGCACGCATAGTGACATAAAAGATATTTTACTTAGAATATATTTAAGTAGATATTGGAAAACCAAATATAAAGAATGCTAGGTAAAAGGTAGTAAGTTTTGTTCATTTCGGAGTGTGTACAAAAGTTACAGAAAGCTTCATTTACTTTAATAAAAATTCAGGCAAGAATCCCCAGCAGTCAGATTATATACAAAATGGTATGTGTACACATGTGTGTGTGTGAGTGTGTGTACGTGTGCATATGTACACATATCTATAGGGATGACTATTTAGCTGGACAACAAACGATACTGGCCAACAGATTCTTAATGAACTCTATCAACCATAAAGAAGGTTAACAGCGGGCGCCTGGGTGGCTCAGATGGTTAAGCGTCTGCCTTTGGCTCAGGTCATGATCTCAGGGTCCTGGGATCGAGTCCCACATCGGGTTCCCTGCTCAGTGCAGATCCTGCTTCTCCCTCTCCCTCTGCCACTCCCTCTGCTTGTGCTCTTCTATCTCTCTGTCAAATAAATAAATAAAATCTTTAAAAAAAAAAAAAAAAAGGTTAACAGCTTTAGTACTTTTCCAGCTAGGATGGCACTAAGACACTACAGCAAGAATGTACAATGGATCGTGGATCACCACATCAAAAACTAATGATGTATTGTATGGTGACTAACATAACATAATAAAATAAAATTTAAAAAAATATATATTAAAAAAAAAAGAATGTTCGGGGAAAATTGGAGGGGGAGATGAAGCATGAGAGACTATGGACTCTGAGAAACAAACTGAGGGTTCTAGAGGGGAGGGGGTGGGGGGATGGGTTAGCCTGGTGATGGGTATTAAAGAGGGCAGTACTGCATGGAGCACTGGGTCTTATATGCAAACAATGAATCATGGAACACTACATCAAAACTAATGATGTAATGTATGGTGATTAACATAAGAAAATAAAAAAATTTTTAAAAACTAATGATTTAATGTATGGTGATTAACATAACATAATAAAATTAAAAAAAAAAAAAAGAATGTTCCTCCTAAAGACAGTCTGGTATTATGGAATTTGAACAAGACAGATACAGGTTCATTCCTCATTCCACACTGCTATTTAATTAAGGAATGTTACCCGGACTATCTGAACCTCAGGGATTTGCATATGTGAAATGGGAATAAATACCTCCCTTAAAATGCTGTTGTGAGGATATAAAGACACAAGGCATATAAAGAACCCGCAATATTATAATGTAAGCTCTCACCAAGCACTAATTTCCTTTCTTATTACCCCTTCTTCTAGATAATTGGACAAATGTGATTAAATGTGTACTAAGGGGAAATGTCTGTATAGTAAAACACTAAATCATATAACAGCATCATAAATATTTCTGATAAACAAATTCCAGTTTTTCCCTCTTTTGGGAGAAATTTATATAATTAAATTGGGGAAATAAATAAAATACCAAATGGAAGAAAAGGTAGATGAAAATCAGTAAAATTTCAAAAGTGGAAAGCAATGATGTTTCACAGTAAAGTTATAACAATCACACCTCTTGGATGTTAGTTTTCTCAACAGAGGTAGTCTTCTTTCTATTTTCTAAAAAGTGATGGTACATTCTCAAAGACAATGAGCATGAAGTAACACAAAGAACACGCCGAATGTCAGATCCTTCTGGCCAGAGTTGCTTAAGCTGAGAAATAGTTTCACATGCCTGTCACAGAAGAAAACTGTAAATGTCATGATATTTAAAAAATATTTTTATTCATAAGTAATCTTACTAGAAGAAATCATACAAAGATATGACTATATAAAATTACAAATATTTCTGTTAAAAATGATAAAGAAAATTTTAAGATGGGAAAATACATATTTTTGTAAAATCATTAAAATTTAACTATGTAAAGAGCTCCTATAAATCAATAATAAAACATCTCAGCCTTTAATAAGACATGAGCAGATAATTCACAAAAGAAGTACAAATATTAACGAAATAGAAAAAATGTTCAACCTCTCTAGTAATAAATGAACAAATAGCATATTTTATTTATAATATATAATATACATATAAATAAAAATATAAATAAGTATAAATTAAAAATAAATATAAATTTAAAATACAAATATAAATAAAAAATATATAATAGTAGCATATTATTTACAAATTAACAAATATTAGAATATTCTAATGATAAAAGACAGCACTGTAAATCATGTGATGTGTCATTTCTCTTATGCTTTGCTAATAAGAGTACAGATAGGTACATAATTACTGCAAAGCTATTTAGCAATACATATGATTACCATTAAATATATTGATACTTTGTGACTGGCTATTCAAGTTCTAGGTATCCAGGCTAGGTAAATAACACAAAATGTGTACCAAGATTTATGCACCAAGATGTTCATACAGAATTATTTGTAGAAACCAATTCTCAAATAATTTAGGTGTTTAGCATTAGGGAAATATTATGCATCCAATAAAAATAAAATATGTGAAGAATTTTTAATAACTCAAATACATGTGGTATGCAAGAAACACAACTTAAATAAAGTGACTCAGAAGGACTAAAAATAAAGGGATGGATAAAAGTATATGAGGCAAATGGTGGGGAAAAAAAGGAGGGAAGAGAGGCTAGCAATTTTTACAGCAGTCTAGGGAGAATTCAAGCTCAAATGCATTAAATGTGAAAAAAAAGCATTAAGTGTGAAAAAGAAACGCACTCTTTTACTCTAAAAGCCACAATTTATAATGGAGATGTAACCTTTATGAATGATTCATCTCATATGAATAATTATGAATAATTATGCAACATATAATGTCACAACCAAATTTACGATGCAAAAATTACAGGAGATTAAAGCAACTATATTCAGAAACACACTAATAATAACAAAATTTAATATACTACTTTCAGTACAAGAGAAATCAAGTGGACAAAAAACAAGCAAGAAGATAGATGACTTAAACAGCATAATCAATAGTGTAGATCCTATGAATTAAACTCTGGTGATAGAGAATATGTATTCCTCTTAAGTGCCCCAGCACATCCATAAAAATTGGTCATATGTTAAGTCACAAAGAAAATATCAGTAACTTCCATAGTGTAGAAACACTACAAACTGCTCTCTGATCAAAACACACTACAGGTAGAATTTAGTTTTAAAAATAAAAAGGCACAAAGACCCTTCAATCTAAGCTTAAAAACATTTTCTATAAAGCTACTCCTGGTGAAAGGGAAATACAAACAGAATTTATAAAAATGATAATAAAAACACTACATATCATAATTTATGGGATAAATTTAAAGCAGTGGCCAAAGGAAAATTCATTGCATTAAACATATTTAACAATAAAAATGACAGAATAAAAAAATGGATTAAATTCTTAGCTCCAAAAAGAAAATCTAAAAAGGAACGACAAACTGAACTAAAGGAAAGCAAATGGAGGTGAAAAATAAAGATAAAAGTATGCAAAAATTAAGAGAAAATTGGTAGATAGATCTAATTAATAAATCAAAATTCTAGGGATTTTTGAAAAACTTTAAAAAACAGACAAGCCGGGCGCCTGGGTGGCTCAGTTGGTTAAGCGACTGCCTTCGGCTCAGGTCATGATCCTGGAGTCCCTGGATCGAGTCCCGCAATGGGCTCCCTGCTCGGCAGAGAGTCTGCTTCTCCCTCTGACCCTCCCCCCTCTCATGTGCTCTCTCTCATTCTCTCTCTCTCAAATAAATAAATAAAATCTTTAAAAAAAAAAAACAGACAAGCCACTAGCAAATTTGATCATTAATAAATGGGAGAAATAAAAAATGTACAGAATAAAAATGTAAAGATAAAATTACTGAAACAATTTTTAAAAAGTCATATAGCCTACTTTGCAAACTTCTATGCAAATAAATTTGAAATGTAAATGAATGGATAATTTCCTCATAAGGATTAATTATAAAAATTGACCCCATTGGAGTTACTAAGCTTAAATAAACCAATTTCCATAGGACAAATAGAGAAAACTAAGAAATTATCCCACAAAAAAGTACCAGTCCCATATGGCTTTATAGGGAAATTCTATTTTAATCTTCAAAAACCAGATAATCCCAGTGATCCATAAATTATTTTGGAATACTGAAAAGAAAAAGAAAATATTCTAATCTTTTTTTTACGAAGCATGCATGACACTGATACCCAACCAAATAATTACAGTGTACTGAAAGAAAACTACAGAAAAGTATCACTCATGCATACTGATGCAAAAATTCTAAATAACATATTAGCAAGCAGAACCCAACACCATATTAAGAAAATAATACCATGATCCAATAGGATTTATTCCAGAAATAGAGTTGCTTCAATATTTAAAAATCCATTTATATCGAAATACCATATTAATAAAACTAATTATTTAAATATCATAATTGTATCCACAATTTCAATACACATTCACGATAAAAACACTCAAAAAAATATAAGTTGAGGGATACAGTCTTAACATCAGAATGAATCTATATATACGTGTGTGTGTATAACGGGGAAACACTAGAGACATTTCTACTAAGATCAGGAACAAGGCTCACTATATCTGTTACTATCCACCACTGTACCAGGTTTGTTACCTAATGCATCTAGACAAGAAAAGGTAATTTCAGGCATAAGAATGGGTAAAGAAGATATAAAACTATCACTGCTCACAAATGATGTGATAGTATATATGGATAACCCCAAAGAATAATTAAACTAATTCAAAACTTAAAATGTCAATGAGACATCAGCACAAAGAATTGCAACAAAAATCAGGTTTCATATGTATAAACAACAAAGAGCCAAAGAACACAATGGTAGATAAAATCTTGGAATAACAGCAAAATTTACTTAATAACAACAAAACATTAAATACTTAGGAAAAAATTTAACAAGAAATATACAAAACATATATAAGGAATTTTTTTAACTCACAAAAATAGACTAGAACAGATGCACCCCCTCTTCTTGCATGGAATAATTCAACATTATAAAGACGCCAATTCTCTCCAGTTTAATTTATAAATTCAATATACTCCAACAAAAATAACAAGATTTTTTTTAACTTAGACAAGTTGATAACAAAATTTCATATGGAAAAATAAAAATGCAAAATGGCTGTAAGAGAAAAACTATACATGGAAAACCTAGCTAAACAATACATTAAAAATACTATTAAGTCTCTATAATCAAGAGTGTAAAATTTGCAAATAAACCAGAGGAACAGAGTAGAAAGTCCAGATTTATTTCCAAATACATATAGAAATTTAATAAATGATGTGGCATCTAAAATCACTGGGATAAAAGTGGACTTTTTAATAAATGCCACTGAACATCCCTTTGAAAAAATAAAAATTATATCCATATCTCACACTCTCTACAAGAATGAATTGCAAATAGATTAGGAATCTAAACTTTAAAAAATTGTAATATAAGAAGAAACCACAGGCAAATCTTCTTTTTAACCTTGATGTATGTAGGGAAAGGCTTTCTAACTGTGACTCAAAATCTAGAGGCAACAACACTTAACAAAAAGATTAATAAATTTGACAGTAAAAATTTTACATTGGGAGGGTATGTGCTATGGTGAGCTCTGTGAATTGTGTAAGACTGATGAATCACAGACCTGTACCCCTGAAACAAATAATACACTATATGTTAATTAATAAATAAATAAATAAAAAGAAGGAAAAAAATTTTTTTAAATGTACACAAAAAAATCATAAACAAAGTCAAAAGACAACTGACAAGTTGGAAGAAAATATTCATAAAATATATCACAAAGTGCTAATATCTGTAATATAGAGAAAACATTTAAAATTGAAAGAAAATAATGATATAATCCTTCTAGAAAGAAAATTGACAAAACCTAAGTAAGCAACATATACACTTATCTTTTGACTCGATTCCATTTTTAAAATCTACTCTGTGGCTATACCTCCAATAATACAAAATTGCATATACTACAGATGATTATTTATTATAGCATTGATTATAATTGCAAAATGTTGAAAACAAATATAAATTCTGTAGTAAGAAATTGGTTAAACAAGTTATAGTACATCTATATGAGGCAGTGCTATGCAGCTATATAACATAATGAGGAAGATATCTATAAATTGCTTTAAAATGATTTCTAAACATGCTGTTAAGTGTTAAAGGAAAGGTACTGAAAAATATCTATAATATGTGATCATTTATTTAAGAAAGATGATATAAGAAAATACACACATCTGCTTTTTTGTGCAAAAAATAGTAATAATAATGCAAGAAGGATAACTCTGAAACTAAAGAGAAAAATTACCTACAGAAAGTATTTGGGAAAGGGGTAACTGTAGAGGAGAATGGGATCAGAGTAGCAGGGATAAGAACAAAGCGTCACTTCTTTGAGCATATCTTTTTTTATATCTGATTCTTAGAATCCTAAGTATGCTTCCTATACATTTCATATACCCTCCAAAATAAACAGGTAATTAAAAACAACCTAGAAATGGGTTGCAGGAACCCAAAGTGAAATGCAAATACTAACCAATGAACCTAACTATATTAGTAATGAATAACAACCAAACTAAATGGGGTGTGCAAGAAAAGAACTAACCTAAATAACTTTGGAAAGCAGTGTTTTACATATTCTACGACTAAAGATAAAAAGAACTGCACATAAATCCTGTAATCCAGTTAGTAAATGTGTTTCTCACAAGATACGGTTAGCAATTCTAAAACCACTTCATGTATATACTAGAATTGAAAAAATAAGTAAATATATTGTATGTCATGAGAGCTGACTTTCTCATAATTGGAGAAAGAAATTACAAATAAAGAAAGGGGAGGTGTAAAATGAAGGATATGAAGTTGGATTGGAGTATAAGTTATTGGTATGAATGCATGATATTTGAGATAGATGATAGATTAAAAAATAGACAGGCGTATATGCATGGCTTAGCATACATACATGTATTTCCTAGCTGTGTCTGCTAAAAAGTCCTCATAGCAATGACACCCCAGTAGAAATGAACAAACATAATTCCCAGATCTTGGCTTCTAAATGCTGTTTTCCAACAACAGCAACCGGAACTCCTTGGAGAAGTGGTAAATTTCAAGGTTGAGGCAGAGAAAATACAAGATGAGAACGGAACATCTTGTGGTTTCAAAAAGCAAAACTGCTCAAAAAGATGGGGCCTGATGAATTTGAAGATAAATGTACATCTGTGTAACCATCACCACAAGGTATGTCATCAAACCTCAATAAAGGGTTTTAGAAGAGAAAAAAGATGGGGAGGGGGGTTGGGCATGCAAAAGAGTGCAAACCTGAATGAGTCTCTAATGTTCAAACCTAGAACAATTTGAGCACCAAAACAACTGTAATATTGGACTTTAATCTATAACATAAAATATCCACTAGTCCATGCTGATATAAATAAATAAACAAGTAAAGGTCAGAGATACAAGGGCTCTCCCTTACAGGAGAATTCCAAGTAAGAAAAGTAGAAGGAAAAAGTGAAATAGAAAACAACCATTAGGGGGCGCCTGGTGGCTCAGTTGGTTAAGCGACTGCCTTCGGCTCAGGTCATGATCCCAGGATCCTGGGATTGAGCCCCGCATCGGGCTCCCGGCTCAGCGGAAAGCCTGCTTCTCCCTCTCCCACTCCCCCTGCTTGTGTTCCTGCTCTCTCTGTCTCTGTCAAATAAATAAATAAATAAAATCTTTAAAAAAAAAAAAGAAAGAAAACAACCATTAGGCAAACAGATCTAGCAATAACTGTCGCAGACAAGATCCATTGATGGGTTCTAAAATTAATTGGCAAACGTCTGAGAAAAAACAGGATTTGCAGAGTCAGGAAAGATAGTAACTTTATGGTGGAGAAGGCCGGAAGGCACCAGCTTAATCAGTGTTAAGACATCAACATCATGAACCCTTTGATATATTGTAAACACCAACTCACTGGCATTCTTGCCAAAAATACATAATAACCTCATTCCAATCATTAGCAAACATGAGACAAGCCCAAAAAAATAAATAACTGATCATTACCTTTCAAAAACATCAAGGTCACAAAAGACAAGGAAACATTGAGAAACTACTACAGATTGGAGGAAACTAGAGAAAAATAACTAAATGGATGTGGGACCCTGGACAGAATCCTGGAACAGAAAAAGGACATTCGTGGAAAAGTAAGTGAAACTCAAATAATGTCTGAATCTTGGTTAATAGTATTATACTGATGTTCATTTCCTGGTTTTGAACAATGTACCGTGGTTACATCGGATGCTAATATTAGGGGAAACTGGGTGAGAAATCTATGGGAAATCAGTACTATTTTTGCAACTTTTTTATAATCAAAAAATTAGTTCAAATAAAAAGGTTTTCTTTTAAAGTTTCAGTACCTCTTCCATCATATTCTTCCATTTTAAATTTCCAAAAAGAGATTCTAGTGCTGAAATTCTACATTCTTCCAATTGTTTAATCAGGGTTTTATAAGCACTCTCAATCTTCTTTTTATTCTGTAAAAGGATGGCAAGTCACATAAATTGTCACAAATAAAATAACTAATCACTTTCCAGCTACAGAAAATCATATATTGAAGATATAATTGTTAAAATATATTTCCCAGTTAAAAAAATTACACTAATGTAATTACAGATCATCAACAATGCTTTTAAAGCCTGTCAAGCAGCACTATTTTGTTCTTGCTGAATTAATTTTTGTTTGGGAATTTAGTGCATTTTTTTTAACAACTTTATAAAAAGTATACTTAACATAATATAAAATTCACTCACTTTTTAAGGGGACAATTCAATGGTTTTTGGTAAAGTTACAGAGTTGTGCAGCCACCACTATAATTTAATTTTAGAACATTCCCAACATCTCAAAAAGAAAGAGTGTGTCATTTAATACATTATATTTTATTATGAAAAATTTCAAACACACACATAAATAAGGAATAGCATAATCTCCCCCCAGGTACCTATCATCCTGCAACAACCATTATCAACATATACTACATTTTTATTTTCATCTCATATAGTCCTCAAAGAGATAAATGAAATAACCTCTTTAAAATGAGTGTTCAATAAACTGGGAACTATATTAATATACTAGAAATAAAATCTAACACTTAAAAAAAATCTTCTTAAGGAGAGATTGAGAAAGATGTTTGTTTGTAAGGCACCCTTCAAACTCAGATTCAGAAATTGCTCTAACAGAATAAAATGAGATCAAGTGATTATAGTACCTCTTCCCAAATTAAAAATCAATCCCAGGGCTGTTCCTACTCACAGTAGGCAACTAGAGTTGGAAATAGTTTAATGACTGGAGTTCTAACTAAAGCAAAATAAATTATCTTATCAGATTTCATGACAACCATCTGGATGTCTCCAAATACCATGAGGGTATTACTATTCTCAGAGTAAAGAATGTTAACTGACTCAAAAATCATTTTGATGAAATACAGCATTATCTTGGGGCGCCTGGGTGGCTCAGTCGGTTAAGCAGCTGCCTTCGGCTCAGGTCATGATCCCAGGGTCCTAGGATCGAGCCCCGCATCGGGCTCCCTGCTCAGTGGAGAGTCTGCTTTTCCCTCTCCCTCTACCTGCCTCTCTGCCTATTTGTGCTCTCTCTCTATCTCTCTGTCAAATAAATAAATAAAATCTTTAAAAAAAATAAAAAAGAAATCAATAAAAAGAAATACAGCGTTATCTTCATATTTAGAATTCACTATAAATAGTGAAATTTGAACAGAAACTAGATTTATTTATAATATCAGTATGCATTTTTAACTCCCAAAAGTTCAATAGAGTAATTGACAAATATATCAATCCAGTAAGAGTAAGATCAAGCAAGGAATTAAATTCTAAATACTTCAAAAGTTCTATTAATGGTTTAATATTATGAAATAAACATTTCACTTATTTTCCTTCCTCATCACCCTTCTCCATTGTTTTATTAAAACTACCATATTAATGACCTCACTGATATGAGGAATTCTTAATCTCAGGAAACAAACTGAGGGTTGCTGGAGTGGGGGGTGGGGTGGGAAGGATGGGGTGGCTGGGTGAGAGACACTGGGGAGGGTATATGCTATGATGAGCACTGTGAATTGTGCAAGACTGTTGAATCACAGACCTGTACCTCTGAAACAAATAACACATTATATGTTAAAAAAAGATAGCAGGAAGGGAAAAATGAAGGGGGGGAATCAGAGGGGGAGATGAACCATGAGAGACTATGGACTCTGAGAAATAAACTGAGGGTTCTAGATGGGAGGGGGATGGGAGGGTGGGTTAGCTTGATGATGGGTATTAAAGAGGGCACGTTCTGCATGGAGCACTGGGTGTTATAGGCAAACAATGAATCATGGAACAGTACATCAAAACTAATGATGCTATGTATGGTGATTAACATAATAAAAAAAATTTTTAAAACTACCATATTAAAGATCATTTCAGTAGTATGTCTCAGCAGTAGAGGCATGAGTTTTTCCCTCCAATTTAATGCATTTCTGGCCTTCATTAACTTGGAGGCAGTATACCATATAGTAGTCAAGTAAGGGCTGGAGTCAGACTACTTTTCAAATCCATGCTCTATTATTCATTTAATGTTGATGATGAGCAAATTGCTTATTCAAGTATCTATTTCCTCACCTGCAAAACACAGGTGATACTAACACCTAACTTAAAGGGCTGTTGTAAAGTTTTTAAAAAATGACTCATGAGAAGTACCAATCACTGTTGTTATTACAAGTTCTGAACCTACGACTGCATTTGTATTATCCTTACCAATTTTCTAGATTTCTCTGTTAAGCTTATGATAATTTCCATAGAAGTGGCAGAAATAAAACTAAGTCAAGTAACATGGAAAATTTTGTAAAATTCTAAAAGAAATTTATCTTTAGATGTCAATTACCTCTTTGAAAAATTGTTGGTTTTTATACATGCTTGGCATAAGGTATGCATAAAGTCGAAGAATATCAGATGTTTGCCCTGAGGAAAGCACAATGTTGACCTTCATTGCCCAAGACTGAGTAATTAAAAAGTTGAAAAGGTATGTTTGTAGATGGTTCAGGCCTTCATCGGCAACTATCAGGTAATATGGGTAACTGTCTTCCAAGAAAATCTCCCACTCCTGTGACAGGCATCCAGAAAATTTTGTTCGAACATCAATGCTGGTATTATGCTGAAGATGAAGAATTAAAGCAGTTCTCAAAGGAAGAAGTTCAGGGAAGTTGAAATATGCATACTCAGCATCCTGTGGGGATGGGATAAAGTATATTCTTTTGAAATTATCATTTAATTGGTTTATATATATCATTAGTCATTAAAGGAATATGTTCCAACACAGTTTTGTTCTGCTTTATAGTCAGGGAATAGACCCTTAAGCCTTGACCGTCATTTCACAAATACATGCCATAAATCACAATTTGGATTTAAATACATACATCCCCTTTAAGCAGGCACATAATAGTCAAGATTTATCATACTTTTCCTTCCTATTCTTTTCCTCTCCAATATCACCTCAAAAAGAAAAAGGACAGAAAAATATGCAAAAGCAAATGGTGGATATAAATTATCCAGAACAGGAAACCAAGGTGAATCACTTTGAGAGGATTGTTCCAATTTAGTATGATCCTCCTGAATTGGCAGAGGTTTTTCTCAACAGATCAGAATTAGTGCAGCAAACTAGACTATAAACATTAGAATCATGGCTCTTTATTCAAAACATTGCTTGCAAGAAGTTAGCAATGTTTAAAAATCTAGCAATATTGTAGATTGCAAAGTGAACAGACACACGCCAAAATCCTTAAGAGTAACACACTGGTTACGTTCAGGACAGGATAAGGAAGAGGTGGTAGTGGTTATACCTATCTGTAGTTGAAACTGTTAATATTTTACTAATTATATTCATAATTGGAAAAGGAAGACAAAATATACTCCCTCAGAAGTATTTACTATAGAGCAAATAATAAACAAAGTAGTATTAATGAGTCTGACATTTTTCTGGGTTCAAATAAATTGACTGCTGAGTTCTGAAGACAGAAGCAGTTCTCAGAGTTGGAAAAGCAGAATCCAGAGATCAACTGAGCTTCCGTTGAGAGGATTTCTCATCCTCCTTCATGACCCTGTGTGTCCTTATATGAAGTTTAGTTATTGAGAATAAAATATGCTCTTTTTTTAAAGATTTTATTTATTTATTTGTCAGAGAGAAAGAGAGCAAAAGCAGGGGGAGCCACAGGCAGAGGGAGAGGGAGAAGCAGAAGCAGACTCCCCGCTGAGCAGGGAGCCTGATGCGGGATTTGATCTCAGGACCCTGGGATCATGACTGGAGCCGAAGGCAGATGCTTAACCAACTGAGCCACCCAGGCATCCCTAAAATATAATCTCAAATATGGTAATTTCTGAATACTCGGATTATGAGTATTTTTTTATCTGTTCTTCCCTTTAAATTTTCTGAATTCTTATAGATATATTTAACTTGGTAATAAGGAAAAAAATATAAAACAGTAAGGAATTTTAGTTTTAGTTCTTAAATCATAATAAAGAACTCTACTGTTACATGTTACCTTGAAGAAAACTATGGCAAATTGTCCTCCTTTACTGATAAGATCCGTAAGATAGCATTCAACCAGATAGAAGAAGTGGAGCTGCTGCCCTGGCTTTAATGATTTCTCACATATGCATGTAGCAAGTAATGAATCTCCATCAATCAGAAAAAATTCAGATTCAACAAAATCATTGAATAAACTGGAATATCTAAAATGAAAGCAGTTAAAACAAAAATTACATATCGACTCAATAAGGCCCAAAAAAGGCAGTAGCGTTGTTATTATTATCCATTATCACTATCACCAGCAAGTAATTTGTTGAGTAATTATTTTATGTCAGGCTCTATGATAAGACTTTTCAAGTATATCCATATGCATGACTGTCCTTCATAGGAAGATCATTCCTATTCTATAGATACAGAAACTGAGGCTCAAAGAGATAGAGCAAATTATGTAAGACCACGTGTCAGAATCTGGATTGGAATCAGGAATTTGACACCTCTATTCTGCATACAGAACTGTATTAAATGCTTCCCACTTAATCAATCTTATTTCTTTATAAAACAATAGGTTCATTGACAGCTGTGTACAAATAAAGCAAGAGAAAACTGTGTCCATTCACCATCAAACAGCTTGAAAAGTTCTGTGTTAAAAATCATACATATAAAGACTGTTGAATCTCAGATCTGTACCTCTGAAACAAATAATGCAATATATGTTAAGAAAAAAAAAAGAAGAAGAAGAAGGTAGCGGGAGGGGAAGAATGAAGCGGGGGAAATCGGAGGGGTAGACGAACCATGAGAGACGATGGACTCTGAAAAACAAACAGGGTTCTAGAGGGGAGGGGGGTGGGAGGATGGGTTAGCCTGGTGGTGGGTATTGAGGAGGGCACATTCTGCATGGAGCACTGGGTGTTATGCACAAACAATGAATCATGGAACACTACATCTAAAACTAATGATGTAATGTATGGGGATTAACATAAGAATAAAAAAAAGAAGAAGAAGAAGGTAGCGGGAGGGGAAGAATGAAGCGGGGTAAATCGGAGGGGTGGACGAACCATGAGAGACGATGGACTCTGGAAAACAAACTGAGGGTTCTAGAGGGGAGGGGGGTGGGAGGATGGGTTAGCCTGGTGGTGGGTATTGAGGGGGGCACATTCTGCATGGAGCACTGGGTGTTGTGCACAAACAATGAATCATGGAACACGTCATCTAAAACTAATGATGTAATGTATGGGGATTAACATAAGAATAAAAAAATTAATTTAAAAAAATCATACATGTATATATAATTATAGATATAATATACTATAATATATACTGAGATGATAGACTTCACTTTTTTTAGACAGACATTACTTTAATGTCAAACAGATATACAGGAGATATGATACTGAACTGTACATCTCTTCATTTCTTACTACAATACTCACTCAGCTTTTGGCACTGCACTCAAAATCAGCTGTGACATTCTCTCTAAAACCATCGCGTGTTCTTCTAAATCTGTAAAAAAAGATTGTTTACTTATTATTTGAAAAAGAAATAACAATAAAGTTATTTTAATTCTATTAAATTGTGTAGCTTAAAGAATCATTATTCTATAATTTATAAAAATTTTACATTGAAAATTACCCATTCTTGCTGCTCAACCTGGGCCTCGAACCTGAACTGGAAAATATTAAATATAGCAAATATCCTTTACTTTGGTACCTCTAAGCAGCAGTTATTAATGAAAATGACAGACCTACAAAGAAAGAAGAAAAATTAGAAATTCATTTATTCCATCAACAGATAGTATTGAATAACTACTGTATATTAAGCAAAACATCAGGCAGTGAGAATACAAGAATGAACAAAAGACAACATGCGGTCAGTTATGGAGCTTAACCTCCACCAGAAAGACAAATATTAATTGGATAATTATATAAACAATGGAAAATTACAAATGTGACAAAGTCAAAGGGAACAGAGGAAGCTTCCCTAATGAAGTAATGCTTGAGCTGATTTCTGAAGAATGAAACAAGAATTAATTAAACAAAGGAGTAGAGGAGAGTAGCATTCCAGGCAGAGGGAACATCAACATACCATGTACAAAAGTCTTATGGCATGAAGGAATGTGGGTGCTACTAGATCCAAAATGGAAGCCAGCAAGGCTGGAATGGAGAGAGTGAGGAAAGAGCTAGCTGTGCTAGAGAGTTCCAGAAATATAAGAGCATGCAGAGCCTTTGAGGGCATGTTTTCATCCTAGAAGCCATTGATGGATTTTAAGCAGGTAGTGCTATGAATGGCTTGACAATTTCAAAGATTACTCTGGCTATAGTAGAGAGAATAGATAGGATGGGAGCAAAGTTCTGTTACTGGAGCAGAGAGAAAAACCATTGTCCAGAAGGGTAATGATCACAGTTTGATGTAATATAGTTTGTTGATAGTTTGGGGAACTTACGGATATTATATACTTAGAAGGTAAGTTTGACATAATTTGGTAATGGATCTGATATGGATGGAGAAGAGGGGGTACTGAGTGAGGGTTGTCAAGGATGATTCTTAGGATTCTACCTGATGCAACAGGATGGAGGACGAGGCCATTCCCTGGGCAGGAAAACTTGGAACAAGCCCACATTTCAGGGAAAGATCATGAATGCAAATTTGTGGTCAGCCTGAGTTTGACTTGATTTCAAGATCTATCATAGGATATGTCACAGGAGTAATGAAATATACAGGTCAATGGGACACCTGGGTGGCTCAGTCGTTAAGTGTCTGCCTTCGGCTCAGGTCATGATCCCAGGGTCCTGGGATTGAGTCCCACATTGGGCTCCTTGCTCAGCAGGGAACCTGCTTCTCCCTCTGCCTGCTGTTCCCCCTGCTTGTGCTCTCTCTCTCTCTCTCTGACATAATAAATAAATAAAATCTTTCAAAAATATACAGGTCTAGAGGTCAAACACAAGGTCTGGGCTAGACCTGAATATGCAAGTAATGTTAATATTATTGCAAACAAAGCCATTGATATAAATGAGCTTGCTTGGACAGAGAGACACAGTATCATGGAAGAAGAAAAAAGGACTGAAAATCCAGTTTTGCAGATCACTAATATATAATAAATGTCAACAGAGAAGAGGAAGCATCTGCAAAGGTAACTGAGAAAGAACTGTCAAAGTGGCAGAAGAGAATGCACTTGAGCATTCTGTCAGAAAAAACAAATATTGAGACATTCCTCAAATATGCCATACAGTGTGTTAGGGCAGTGAAACTTGATAGATGGATAGATAGATAGATAGATAGATAGATAGATAGATAGATAGTCATATTATATGACATTAAGGAAAATATAATGGTGAGGCATACATTGATATTAAATATTAAAATAACAATGCAAGGAAGTTTATGACTGTAAAAATGAGTAAGCTTAAAGAAAGAAGAAATTACTGTGGGCTGAAATGGAATGTTTAGGAAACACTTAATGGAGACAAGGGTAAAAGCATGGTCTCTCACTTACTTAGTTATTCCTCCTTTTTTCAGATATATAGAACATCTACTCCTCACCAAGCACTGTACTTGCTGCAACATATGCAAATATGCATAAAACACGGCCCTTACAATCTGGTAATGGTTTAAAGAGAATTAAATCAAAAACTATAATGTGCTGAGTGATCCAGCAGAAATGGTACAGGAAACTATTAGAGAATTGAAAGAGTTCTTCAATCAACTGGAGAGGTTCTCTGTTCTGAGGTTTTAAGGACACATTGAAAAAATGTGGAAGAATTATGGAAGCATTTTGGAGAAGGTAAGAGATATAGAGGATCCCATTTCAGACAACAAAATAGCACTGGTTTAATGCACAGAGATATGAAACCACATAACAAGTTTGATGCCACAGACTGTTCCACATGGTATAAAACAGAATGACTTGGTTGGAAATGAGACAGGAAAAGTAGGTGTAGCCCAGGTTATAAGGGGCTTTTGCCCAGGCAAGTTTAGAGAATTTCCTGAAAACCCTCTGCCATCCAATTCATGCAATCCTCAACCTCACTAATTGCACATTAGCCATATTGTCTTCCTTCAGTTCTCCAAATTGTACCAAGCTCAAAGAGAAAAGATGAGTCAGTGAGAACTGAGTAAACAGGAGAAAATTAACCCCAAGTATCTTATAGAAGGAAGAGCTCCAGAAAAGGTAGGGTCAGACTGAATGAAATAAGATGAAACAAGGTAATTCATAGATTCCCAGATGTTCACAATGCCCTTAATGTCTCAGAAAATTTTTTATGGTACTCCTAGGACAAAATAAATACCTAATAGTTTATTTATTAAGTAGTTCGCTCCAAACAAATTAATAAGTCCTAACAAAATCATTTGAAAATAGAATACACATAAATTGAAAGAAAGAACACCATTTTTAAATTAAATAACAACAATTACTAATGAGGGCGCCTGGGTGGCTCAGTCGTTAATTGTCTACCTTCGACTCAGGTCATGATCCCAGGGTCCTGGGATTGAGCCCCGCATCGGGCTCTCTGTTGCGCAGGAAGCCTGCTTCTCCTTCTCCCACTCCCCCTGCTCGTGTTCCCTCTCTGGCTGTGTTTCTCTCTGTCAAATAAATAAATAAAATCTTTAAAAAAAAAAAACAATTACTAATGAGACATATGTGCCTATTATTGGACACTACAACTTTTCAACAAGAGCCATGGTGGCAGAATAAAACCCTTCTCAATTTGACAACTAAGGGATTCCACAGCCTGCCTGCCTATCTCCTCTCACATATCTTACAGGAAACTCCTTATGAAATTTCACCCTGAATTCATGCCTCATTTAACATTTACACAGAATTTATATCACTATGCCCAGTTCTTTCTTATTTAAGGGAGAGGCACATTAGAGAAAATAAAACCAACTACCCATCATAATAACCACTGAATAAATGTAAATGAAAAAATTAGAATCATTAGATATTGGGGGGGGGGGCTATTAAGAAGAAGCCAGATGAATAAACATGATTCAAGGACAGAATAGTCCTTTAAAAAGTTCAAATTAGCATCCCAATAATTACAATATTATCTAATACAACAATAACAGACTGCTACAGAAAAAAAAGTAAATGCTCATAAAAATTTTAAATATAATTTCAGGAAAAAATCATGTGCAGAATAATAAAATGGACATGCTGAAATCTTAAGTTGGAGATCTAAAATCCAGGAAGTTTCTTTTTTTTTTAAGATTTATTTATCTATTTATTTGAGAGACAGAGAGAGCACGAGTGGGGGGAGGGGCAGAGGGAGAGGGACAAGCAGACTCCCCTCTGATTGGGGAGCCCGATGCAGGGTTCAATCCCAGGACCCTGAGATCATGACCTAAGCCGAAGTCAGACACTTAACCAACTGAGTCTCCCAGGCAACCCCAGGAAATTTATAAGACAGAAGTAAAAAACAAAGAGATGGAAAACAGAAAACAATATTAAGAAATACAGAGGATAGATTTAAAAGTTTTAAATTCATCCCACAGTAATTCCAGAGGGAAAAAACTAAGATTCTAAAATGAGTGGAGATAAAAATAACCAAAGATATAATATTTAAAGTCATACAATAATATTGGAGCACAGTTAAAGTACACATTTTTAGACTGAAAAGTTATTCCAAGTACTATGAAGAAATAATGACAAAAAAGAAACACACACTTAGAAATAGCACCTTCAAATTGCAGAGCTCCAAGAGCAAAGAGAAAGATGAAGATATGCTGCAAAGAAATGTAAGTAAAGTGGTTAAAGGCATAAGCATTATTGGCAGAATGCCTAGGTTTTAATCCTAGTTCTGAAACATACTATAGTTTTATAATCTTAGGCAAGTTATTTCCTTTCTCTATATCTCAGTCTACTCCTCTATAAAACTGGGACAGACAATAATGTTATTTTCCTCTGGCTGTGTTTTCTAGCTTTTTAAATGTATGAGCTGATGTATACAAATTGATGAAAATAGTACCTGGCACACAGAACTGAATAAAATGAGGAGCATCTTTGGATGTTTTGATAAAAGAAAACAATGTTTGCAAATTTCCCAGGGGAAAATATTTTGAACTTAGAATTCCGTATCTAGTCATTCAATCCATTAAGAGGGCAGAAAGACAGTATCACCAGACATTAGAGAAGTCAGAAATGTCACCAACCACCTATCCTAAACGATAATTTTATTTAAAGAGATGATAACAGAAAATTAGCCGGGGCGGGGGGGTGGATTAAGCATATGACAGTCAAGAAACAGTGAAACTACATATGATCCAGAAAAATTAAAGGAAGCTATAAAGAAAAATAGGAGGATCCATGATACTTTGAATTTAGAAAAGTATCAATTTCAAACAGTATCTAAATGATAACTACATTTCCAAGCCAAACATATAGATTGCTTCTACAATGAATAACATAATAAATAATTTTATAACTTGTTTACTTGGCTTTCCATTTTTGATTCAGCTAGAAACAAATCACAAGAATTAAAGTTTTAAAATATTGTAAACTATGATAAACCTTGACAATATAAAAATAATGTAATAACCAAATTGGGAGATTCAGAAAGGGATGAATAGAAGAAAAAGAAGAGTGTATATTAAGTCCCTTGTTTTTCATAGAAGAAAGCCCAGAGATAGCATCTAAAGATAATACATCAAAAATTAAGGGTTTCTGCAATCAAGAAGTTAAATTGCCTTTCTTATATAGGTACTGAACCAATGGGGTACCAAATACTATAAATGGAGAAATTTTATTTATATTTCTATTACAATTTCTAATGAATTAATAGATATTGCTATTTTGAGATGATAGCACAACAAAAATACAGGCAAATATCTACTTCCATGTAGAACTACACCATTCTTGAAATACTCCAATCAAAAAAAATTTTTTAACTTTAATTTGATCAAAACTCTAGTAGCAACAAGTAATTAACAAGACATTTATAAGCTAGAGGAACCTGTTAAGTGATACCAGGAAGACTAAGAGAATCTCTACAAGATGGAAAAAGAGAAAGGGAAAGGGAAGGGAAAAGGAAGGGAAAGGACCCCAATTTATTAATAAATAAATTACAAGAGGAAAAAAGAGATTAAGACAAACTTAAAGACATATCACCCAATCATAGTAGTGCCAGAACTCTATTTGGATTCTGATTTAAACAATCTTTAAAAGGAAGAAGAGAAGGGTAAAAAAGAGAAATCATAGATTATTGGAGTAGATACAGTCCAATTCAGAGAATAAGGCCCAGGGAATGATGCAACCACTTGATAGAAAGACTCAAGTTCCTGAAACACTGTCTGGAGAAGAGCAGACCAGCAATGGACAGAATTCTAGACAGCCTTCAGAACTCCAGCCACCCAGGTGCATTGCCCTGTACAATATCCTCCCCTTGAGTGTGGTTAGGATCAGTGTATTGAATGGGATAGTCTCTCCCATGATTAGGTCTCATTATGTAAGACTCTAACATAGCAGAAGACAGATTCTCCTTCTAGCTTTGAAGACAAAAGCTGCCACAGCCAAGAGCCAATTTATTAAACAGGGAACCTCAGCAGGAGGGGAAGAATGAAGGGGGGGAAATCGGAGGGGTAGACGAACCATGAGAGACAATGGACTCTGAAAAACAAACTGAGGGTTCTAGAGGGGAGGGGGGTGGGAGGATGGGTTAGCCTGGTGATGGGTATTGAGGAGGGCACATACAGCATGGAGCACTGGGTGTTATGCACAAACAATGAATCATGGAACACTACATCTAAAACTAATGATGTAATGTATGGGGATTAACATAAGAATAAAAAATTAAAAAAAAAAAAAAGAAAACAGGGAACCTTCATTTCAGTAGGATGAGATGCTGAGTAAAAGGATTCCATTAATCGGTGCCTGGACTTCTGATTCGTGGAAACTTAAAAATAATAAATTTTTATTAACTTATGCCACTAAATTTGCAATAATAGGTTATGCAGCACTAGAAAACTAATGCATGCCCCTTCACCATGAATACATTCTTTTAACTGCTTTTAAGAAATAAATTATTGCATGAAGCCACTGAAATGTAGGGGTACGTAGGAATCTGCGAGATACTAAAATGCAGATTCCAGTTCTGCAAGTTTGTAGTTGGGCATAGGATTCTGCGTGGAGTAGGAAGCTGCTTGCTGCTGTCAACGTCTAGATTTTATTGTCCGTGCTCAGCTCTGACCTCTCTTAGTCTCTCCTCAAGGCCCCAGATCCCCAGCACCCTTTCTTTCAAGAGGACCCCTTAAATGCTGAACACTCGGCCCTCTCCAGACTTTAGACCCCGGCGCTCCTCACCAGCATCTCTTTCCTTGCCTCTCCCCAAGCCTTGCCTCCCGCGGCCAACGAAGAGATCCGTCCACCACCACCCTTTCCGGGGGGCGTGGTGGCGCCCGCAGCAACCCGCACCACCAGCCCCGCGCGCCCAGAAAGGCTCCCGGGCCGCCTCCCGCTCCGACCAGAGAGCTTGAACCCGCGCGGGACATCTCCACTCCAAGTCTCTCCCTTAGTTGTACCTGTCCTCTCGGAGCCCGCTCCGCACACCCAGCCCCCGCTCCCCGCTCCCCGCCCCCAGCTGGGGTCCTGCGTCCGAGCACCTCCCACTCCCCACCCCAGACCTCCCGCGGAGTCGGGCCCCGACCTGCTGCGCCTGAGGCGCCGCTGACGGGCGCCTGCCGCCCGCCGGGGAGAAGAGACCCAGAGGGGACGAACCTGGAGCGCGAGAGGAAGCTGGGCGGAGGGTCTGAACCCGGGCTTCTGACTAGCGGAGCCGCCGCAGCCAGTCTTTTATACCCTGGAAGGGAGTTTTGGTTTCATTTCTCCTCCCAGGGACGTCTCAGTTTCGTTTTCCTTCTGGAAGTAGGTAAGACAGTTTTCCAGAAAAGTGAGTTTTAGCCTCCTGCTCTTCAATCCGAACCTTAAGAGATAGCAAGAACAATAATAGCTTTGGAATTTGGACATAAGATAGAGGAAAGTGAGGCAGAGACATCTGGGACCTCTAAACATAAAATCAAGAAGAGCTGTTTAGAAATAGATGAAATGTAAGGGTGTGGAATCTGAAGTTCTGCCGTGAGAGGTGGAGTCTTGCAGTTCCATCTTAAGGCAAAAAGAAAAACAAAAACAGTATAGAAGAATACATGAACTCGGAGTTTCCATTATGAGAAGCTAATGATTACTGTTCTGTGTGAACTGTATTTGGAGCTTTCCTGGGTCAAGAAACACCATTAAAAATTAAATTGAAAATGCAACATGCTCACGTTTATTTCTGCCTGAATGTTATTTTCACTAAATATCTGCCTGTTGATATCTGCAGTTTGGGTTTTGACACTAGCCTCTCTTTCTTTTTAGTCTCTTAGTGTGCTTAATTTCATGTGCAAATATATTGGAATTCTAGGAGGAGGCAAGCAGAGGTGGCAGTGGATTTGGGTAATCTTAGCAACAGGAAGCCACAACTGCTTTGTCTTCAAGGAGAGTAAAGAACAGATGTGCAGACACTGTTCCACAGAGAAAACAGAACAGACAGAGCAGTGAATGACATATTTTCTGGTCATAAATTGGAGAGTCAAGATGTTAAAGAAAAAGGTAGGGATGGAGAGGGTGAGCATTTCTCACATCCATCAGGTGTCCATTCATTCATTCACTTAATTGCAAATTTGTGATGGTGTTTGTTGATGATGAAACTGAGAAAGAAAATTTAAAAGTTTGGAACTTGACACATGACTGGTCTAAAGTTATACTATATTCATATTTGTCCTTCACTAACATCTCTAATAATAGTAATATAATACTCTTCCTTCCTCCTGCCAAGAAGCCAGTGTTCTAATTCCTATAACCTGTGAACATGCTAAATTCTCTAGCAAAAGGTACTTTGCAAAATAAACTAAATAAAGGATTGTGAGTTGAGGAATTATGCAGAATAAACCTGGTGGGCTCAAAGGGTCCTTAAAAGAGGGAGTCAGGAGCAAAGTGTCAGAGAAGGCAAAGTGATAGCTCTACACTGCTGGCTTTGAAGATGGAAGAAGGGCCCACAGTTTAAGAAGTCAGGTGATCTCTAGAAGCTGGGTAAAGGCAAGGAAATAGATTCTCTTGTTGAGCCTCTAGAAGGAACCAGTGCTATCGACACCTTGACTTTAACTTCATGAGACTGATTCTGGACTCTGACCTTCAGAACTGTGAGACTAAATTGTGTTGTGTCAAGCCACTGAGTTTGTTCTAATCTGTTACAGCACCAATAGGAAACTGATACACTATTGTAAACTCATATAATAAGAAACTGATAGCAAAAAAAAAAGAAAGAGCAAGAGAGAGAGAAGAAGAAAGAAAGAAAGAGAGAAAGAGAAAAGAAAGAAGAAAGAAAAAAGACAGAAAAAGAAAAGAGAAAGAAAGAGAAAGAAGAAAGAAGAAAGAAAGAAAGAAAGAAAGAGAGAGAGAGAGAAAGAAAAAGAAAGAAAAAAGAAAAAGAAAGAAAACATATTTTGCTAGGAGCAGAAATAATGGATTTTGTTTTAAGAGGCAGCATTAACTGAGGAGGCTACTGTGTGCTAAGCAATATGCTAATATCTTTATATTTATTCTTACATTAATTCTCACAACAATTTCATGAGCTGTGTACTATTTTGTCATTTTATAGATGAAATAAATAATCCTTAGAGGGATAACACAGCTAGTAAATGGTGCCAAGATTTAAAATCTGGTCTAACCAAAAGGTCTACCTACAGTCTTCTCCATTACATGATCTCAGACAAATTCTTCACATTCTACAGCTGAAAGCCTTTCACTAATAGACAAATGATTTCATTTTGCTTTCTGTTTTGGTTAAATTATTGAGATAAGTTTTTTAGTGTACATAATATTTTATGATTGTTTTGATTTTTATTGACTTTAAATTTATCAAGTGAAAACTCAGTAAATCATGACCCAATCATTTTCAATTTTCCACCCCTCTGTATTTAGACAACACACAAAAACTCCAGTTTTTCTTTTCCACTTCAACAACCTACTGACACCTACTCCCATGCACACCCTGGATTTTGTCCAGAATCGTAATCATCACAGAATCACAAACTACATTTCTACTTTTCAGACCCCTCCCTTTTACTTCCTGCATTTAAGCTTTTGAGACTCCTGAACTTTTGTCTTATCAGGATGACCCTGTAAGTAAACATTTCAACCTTCCCCTGAGTAACATGTACAACCGCTTGAGCTTATTGATTTTCCTCTACACTTGTGCCTGCAATTGAATAATCTGGAATAATTCGAAAATTTGTTTGTTTCTGGATACTGAAGAAAATGACCAAGTTTGTACCCCATCAAACTGTTCACAAACACAGCTGATGTCTTTTACTTTTACCCCCAAGCCTTTTGCCTATTTTACAATGATGGTTACAATCATATAGCACTTTATATTCTCCTCAAGTTCTTTCTGATGACAGAGTATCTCTTTTTTTCGATTCTCTCTCAACCTTAGGATAATTCCATATACCATCCCAGCTTAGAGTCTGAGAAGAATACACCAGGCACCACCCATACCCAACATAACTAACCCTCTATGATCTGGATTTGGTTCCCTCCTCAAGCATCTCAGTCCATTTTTCTTCAGACTGATGTACCCACAACTTCACCCAATCAACTAAAATGTACTGTTCATTCCACTAATAGACTCAGGTCTATTTTAAAATAGTAACAAAAATGATCTCCTGCTCCATCTCATACCTTCCCTTTTTGGCACAGTACCCTTTAGTGATGTACACTTTAGTGGTCTATACTTCACCCTCTTCCAAATCCTCAGGCCCCTTTAGTCCAGATGTGCTCTGAAATTGCTGTCAAAGATCACCAATGATGATCCAATCATTGAGAAATCTAAAGCTAAACAATGCTTGCTTAATCCCATTTACTTCTCTCTCTCTCTCTGAAATACTTGAAAGATTTTTAACCAAGCTCTCTTTTCCATAGAGCCTCTTTTCTTTTAGTTTACAGTATTCTTCAAATCTCTTTCTCTTCCTACCTTCTCTATCAAAATTGGTGGAATTATCACCTAACAACTGTTCAAGTGAGAAGCCTGGGAATCATTGCTGCATCTTCACCTTCCTCAAATCTTAGTGAACTGGAACCCTGCTAACACTTACAGAATCTGAGATTTCTTCTCTCTCTCATTTTCCAAAGGCTAGAATAAGCAACACCATTTCTCATCTGGGTAACTGGAAGAGCCTATTTCCTTCCTGACTCTTGTCTGTCCCTCCGTTAAATAATTTTGCTGGCTGGGGCACCTGAGTGGCTCAGTCAGTTAAGCATCTGACTCGATTTTGGCTCAGGTCATGATCTCAGGGTCTTGAGATCAAGCCCCCACATCAGGTTCTGTGCTGAGCATAGAGTCTGCTTGAGGCTCTCTCTCTCCCTCTCCCTCTGCCCCCTGCCACACTCTCTCTCTCTCAAATAAATAAATCTTAAAAAGGGGATAAATAAATAAAATAATTTTGCTGGCTGACAAGGAAGTGAATCTGTTATGCAAGTGCAGCTATTCTGGCTGATAAAGGAACTATCCAAGTAGGGAACCCTTCTCACCAGATATGGCCACAAGAGAGGAGATACGTCCCAGGGGCAGAACTCATGGAGCCCGGGGAGGTACAAAGAAGTCAAGATAGTGATGAGGTTCAGGACATGATGCACAAAGATATGGCACCCTGGCATACTGAATATGTTAGCTGAAAGAGTTAAGAGCACAGTAGAAGCAAGCAGATCACTCTGACCTCCCCCACACCCCTCTTCCCTGAAAGCAGGAGATAAATCTCCTGTGAAAGGTACTTTCCCCCATCTCCCAGTACCAGGAAGAAAGAAGATATCCTTATTATCAGACACAAGAAATTTAGGGCCAGAAAGGCTGTATAACCAACTTTGTTATTTTTTCACCATTTATTACCCATAGCCCAAACACCTTTGACTTGTCAATTCTTGACATATTTATTGTTTGTTTGTCTAAAATGTATAAAAGCTTCCTGCTCTGGTCCCTTCTTTGGGTCTTTATACTCTTGTGAAGGTTTCCATGTACATGTAAAAATTCAGTAAGATTTGTATGCTTCCCTCCTGTTAATCTGTCTTATGTCAGTTTAATTCTTAGGCGCAGCCAGAGACCCAAAGAGGGTAGAAGAGAATTTTTCCTCCCTTACAACAACACATGAAAATTTAGGCCTTACAATAAAATGCCTTGACATCAATTGAAGCTGTGGTGATGACTGAGACTTTAAGGAAAAGGAGAAATGCATCCCTAGGAAGCAAAGTAGGTACCTGACCATGAGGGAGAAAACCAAACAGAGAGGTGATTGTTGAAAACATAAATTTTAGAGGTGCCCCTCTTTATGGCCAACAAAGGCAGCTGAGGAATCTGTGTGGCACTGATGGAGGGAGCGCATGTCCCCAGGAGGTATGAATTTAGTTTAATAAATGACTGTGGCAAAGGACCCCACTGGGAAATCCATTTGCTACTGTTTCATTAAATAAGAGCTCTTTGAAGAGTTCATTGGGCTTCTGAATTAAACCAATTAAATTGACTGCAAATGGCATATAAGGAAGGTAGAAGTTCCATTGAATGTTTTTTTAAAGAGCCCAGCACTATGCTTTCTAAGAAGTGAAATGAGTCTTCACTCACTATCAGTAATGTCTGGAACTCCAAATGTATAATGAATGTTCTATTGAGGTGTTGTATTGTGGCTTTAGTATATGCAGAGATACCTGTTACATTAATTTATATTTTGGGTATCTGTGAAGCAAGAGATTTCCGGAGTTCTCTACCAA